TCAAAGTCTTCGTTTCCTCCGCCATGGCTTTTCTTCTTGAACTCTTTGCTGCATGTGATTTTATTAGGACTGTTAAAATTATTTTCTTATAATTCATGTAATTATGCCAAATATGAGTTCAATATATCACTTAGTGTTTTTCTTGAATTTCCTGTCATTTTGAATTATATTAATTGAAAGTGTGTATAATTGATATGATTAAGGTGTTGATGTGTATTGTACTAAGTAGCAAAAATATTAATCTGAATGATTTTTCATCATTAGCCTTATTTTTTTGTATTTTAATTTCAGCAATTGAAGATTGTTATAATGGACCAAACCTGGAAAATGGTCAAGTAACTTTAGAATTTATGAGAAACCTCATGGAAACATATAGAGAAGGAAAAAAATTGCATCGGCGTTATGCTTATCAGGTATGTTTCAGAACAAAAATCAATATCTTTTCTTGTAAATTTTTAGTTTCCTTATTTGTAAATAAAATTTTAAAATGCATGTAACTGAAAATGATGCTAATCATAGTTCTTAATAGGTCTGCAATATATTTATGTAGCAAGTCATAATTTACTAAGTGTTATTTGTGGATAGAAAAATTTAAAAGAATTTAAATTTTTTAATTTCTGTTAGCACTTCTTTAAAATTATATTATGTGAATTTTATAAAATACTAATTTGTAAATACTGCAGTCTGCAAAAGGGACTGCAAGTAAGATGTATTTAGTATTCACAGATAATAGATTATTTGCACCTCTACTAGGGCTAGGCTGTAATTCAGATAAGTTAGCATTTCTGCTTTCTTCATTTATAAAATAGCTTCCTTTGCTCCATATTTCTTGCGTTTTTTTTTACACATTTCCACAGTAAGTGTAAAAGAATAGTTGAGCTAAGTAGAGATTTTCAGGCAAAACACAAAAAACAGCCAAATATATGTAGGTTGTTTTTATTCAACCTCCGATCGCACAGTATGATGCCCAGGTATGCGGCAGGTGGTTGGTGTGCGTAGTAGGTGACTGCGCATCTCCCCTTCCACACGTTCTGTCACTAGCATATTCAACACGCCATTTTCTGTTGAGTTGCAATCACGCAAACATGGCTGTCGCTATTGATTCTCCCGCCAAGTGTGAATTATGAGCTGTTATCCGTTTCTTGCAGGCAGAAGGGAACAGTGCAGCGGAAATTCATCGAAGAATGATGGTTTATGGAAAAAGTTATAGTGATGGCGTTATCTTGAATGGGTCGAAAGTTTAAGATGGCCGAACTGATAGCATGGTGAAGGTGGTCAAGGAGCAAATCTGTGCTACAGACGATATGTTCAACAAGTTGACCAAGCGGTAGCAAATCGAAGGTTCACCATAAATTACAATGATGAGTTTGAGTTCAAATCTCCCTTACTCTACGTTAGAACAGTGCTACAGAAAAGTTGCGCTGCTGGGACACAAGATGTTGATGACACACAAAATCGCCGAATGGTTGAGCGTTTGAGTTACGACCGTTACAACGATGGAGAAGATTTGAAATCCATTGTGACAGGTTATGAGACGTGGGTTCAATATGACACGCCCGAAACGAAACGACAATCGCAACTGTGGATGCACACAAATTCTCCGAAGACACCCACAAAATTCAAACGAACCTTTAACGACCGTAAGGTTATGGCAACTGTTTTTTGGGACCAAAGAGCTGCGTTGCTTGGGGAGTTTATGCAGCTAAAACAACAATTAATGCAGATTCATATTGTGAAACTTTGAGACGCTTACGGAGAGTTATTCAAAACAAACGAAGAGGCTTCTGGAATTCTTCTAATCCACGACAATGCCCGTCCTCACTCCCCTCCTGAACTGAATCAATGGCTTGGCGGGAAGAGCTTCCAAAATGACGTGGAGCTGAAAGAAACCGTCAACAATCACTTTCAATCATTGGCGGGGATATTTTATGAAGAGGGTATGCAAGCTGTTCACAGATATGACAAATGCTCAATCGTCAGTGATTATGTAGAAAAAACCTGCATGACATTACTTTTGGAATAAAATCTTTTTTGTATATTCACCCGTCTTTTCTTTATAGCCCATCGGAGGTTGAAAAAAAAATAGCCCTCGTAATTCAAGATTTATTGTAAAGTGTATTAAAATTTCTATTTTCTGAAAAATGTTTGATCATAGATTGGATTTGGCAGTTACTAAATCTTAAGAGTCTATCTCAGCTCTGTTCAAAATTTTGTAGGAAAGGTTTGTCTGCATTCAAACTTGAATCGCAACGTTTGGTGTAGTCAGTGTAGGATTGCTATCACTGGTGCACTTTCACATGTTAAGGCTGCTGTCTCATTAACAGATAAATATAGTTAATCTTCACTTATAGGTAATAATAAAACAGTAAAGGATTAATCATCACTTATGGGTACAATTTAGAGTTTACAGACTTTGGCAAAGTTTAAAGATTTTGGGCAAAATATTTAGCTGGCGACTCTTATGTCATGACTTATCTGACAGTAACATCAGAGTAAGTCCATGATTTGTTTTGTGATAAGTTTGAGATTGCATCTGTCATTGGCATGGGTCTTGGGCACCTTATAGGTGGCATTATAAGTTCCTCCCTCTCCCAGTCTTGTCAGAGAATCTCTGGAAAAATGGATTCAAGATTCTCTTACTCTCTCTTTCTCTACTACTGAACTTATCGAAAGGGCTTTTGACTCGCTATGTATTCTAATTTCTCTGCAAAGACACTATGCGAACTCGGGCGTAGTGATATGGCAGCCAATATTGTTAATCACTATACAAAAACAGTAATTAGTGGAATCAAGTACAGGTTTCCAGAGATGAGCCCAAAGTCATTTTCATTTCACTGTTGACATCTGAGATTTGAGGGTTTCACACACTTTCACACACACACATAAACAGGGTTCGTAGCGATCCTTATAAGTGCTTATAAGTCCTTATATTTGAAATTAAAATATAAAGGCCCTTATAGGCGCTTACTTTTTCTTTACAGCCCGTTTTTTGTTTTTTGTTTTTTTAATTATTTTTTTTTAATGAACGCATTTTTCCCCGTAGCAAGCCGAAACTAAATAAATAACTTTTCTTCCTTATATGCAACGTCAGATGGTGAATCATACTCCCAGAAATTGTTTCTCCCCCTTCCTCTGCATTAACATAACCTATGGTATTCGCGAGAGTACAGACAGGGGCACGTCGTTCTATTGGCCAAAGAATTGAAAACGGTAGAAAATTCCGGTACATTTGGTATTCTTTTCCTCCCACCCAAATACTGCACCCGTTTGAATTTTTATCAAGATTTTAATAATTTGCATTCTCGTTCCGCGTGGTCAGTTCATATTCGTGTTTATTATGATCGTTATGCTATATTATAGCAATGTATGAATTTTATAGTAATATAGTTGCAGAGATGCTGAAGTATGATAATTTCCAAAATGGGTTGTTACACAGATAGCTTCAAGGAATAATATTCGGAATGGCTTAAAAAAAGGAGTAATCGAATAGTAAAAACATTTCATTTCTTTGCCAACATTATACATTACGGAGGTGGGAGTTCTCCGCAAAATCTCTAATATTGAAGCAGCAGACTTTTTTTTGTCACTGTCCAATCTGGATTGAATAGGACTAAAAGTTTTTGCGGTCTACCTAACCCAAGCGAAGATTGATTCTATTCCGGAAATGTAATACAGTCTGTTGAAAATTAGAATCAGAAACACCCCAGATTAGTAAGTCTCTTTCTTTCTTTTTTTTTCCCCCTTTATTTAGTTCTTTATTCTCGGAATACCAGCAGGTGTTGATTCCGATTGCGTAATATCACACATGGAAGAATTATGCCGAACATTGCGCAAACATTTGCGGTTTTTGCATTGATAATTAATTTTGATGTTCAGTCTGAGATTTGTTTAGAACACTTAAAAGAGTTTTACTGCACTTTCTAAGCAGAATATTTCTCAGTTCCATTGGTCTATTTTTATATGATGCACATATCGGAACGTCAAAATCATTTATTTGGCCGAGAAATCTAAGAACGGCTACAATCTCCCTCACTCCTCTTTTTCCAGTTACTATCTGGAAATCGGGAATTTCCGAGAATGCGGGTAGTTAAGCTTTTACTGTTAAAGGATGACTGTATGAAGCAATTTCTTGTCTTCTGATTTCAGAAATGTGCCTCTTTTTTACTTAAATTACTTTGCTGGAATATAGTTAAGGGAAAACTGTTATGCAATGAAAATTAGAAAATGTTCAGAATTTTGATTTAAGTTAAATTATTTAATATTAATATGAGTGGAAAAATAAATTGATTATTATTAGGTGCCAAATGAATACAATTAATATGGCTTACTATTATTTATTTTCTATATTTTCAACTGAAATATCATCATTAAATTGTAATATAGTTTAGTTCTGCATAGTTTTTTTTCTCTTGTAAAATAATTCTGTAAATTGAACTGTCATTAAAAATTAAAAAAAAAAAAAAAAAAAAAGTTAATAGTTTTCTATTGTTGAGGTAATGTCATTCTCTTAATAAATATTGCATTGCTCATATTTTAAATTACAAGTCTAATTTTTTTTTAGGTATGCAGTTGTGTATAATGTAATTAGACAGGTGCATATTTTTTCCTTAAAGTGTGCTTGAAAAGTGCTTATAGGTGCTTACGTTTTTAACTAAAATGTGGCTATGAACCCTGATGTAGCTTTTAAAAGTCAAGTGGCTCTGCGATTTATAAACTGCTTTCATTTGATAAATTGTTGTAATAGTAAACATTCTCAGTTTACTATTACAAGAATTTATCAGATAATTGCTTACTCAGTTGCTTGCTGATTTTTTTTAATTACATTAATTTTTTATTTATTATTATTTTTTTTTAAAATTCTGTTTGGGGAGTAAACTAAGATTCAAAAATTGGTAAATTACAACAAATTTAAGTCAGTAAACAGAATCATAGGTCAGTAATGTCAGCAAAGTAACAAATGGTTAAAGCAGTTCATTTGCGTTGTCTCATCCTCTACCCTCAAATGAAGGTATTTAAACCAAAAGAAAAAAAAGCATTGTTAGAGTAGTAGTTTGATTTAAACTCTTGATTTTGTTGGCGATTTAATGTAGCCCCCTCTTCTTCAAAAGCAAAAGGAATTTACTGAGCAAAATTTTGTTTTCCATATTCAAAATCTATACAAATCCAAGGTTGTTTTTTTACCCAATTTTGTTATATGTAGCTTAAAATAAAATAAGTTACATAAATAAAATAGAAAATAATATGCAAGATAAGCTGCTAAATTGTTAGTAAAAATATCTAGCAAAAGTATGCATAAATTTGATGAAAACTTTGTGTGAATTTGAACTCTGAACAAGCTGATTTGAACTAAACAAGTAATGCTAATAAATCTAGTGATTTTTATATAAATTAAAAGTAATTCTAATTAGTTATGAAGGTGAAATGGTTAATGTATTAATATATTGTTATTATCATCATTTTTCATAAAAATAAGAACTTTATTACAGTTTGACCATTTTGTACAAGTAAGTTAGGTAACTAAGAGCAAAATATTTGCATTTGGAATAATGAATGAATCTAATAAAGAGGGTATAAAATGCATTAAGAGCACCATGTGTTTATGAAGAATTTAAGGTGCTTTTTCCCATCAGCAGATGATGTGTATATGAGAGTATAAGTTTTTATACATATTAGCGCATTTTTATATCATTCTTAGATTATTTAAAATTAACTTAGCCATATGAACCTTTATTAGAATTATTGAGGGAGTTTACGTTTAGTAATGCTTAATATAATTTTCTGATAAATATTAATTGTAAGTTATGTAAAATTCAATCATAATATCAAAAAAGTAAGTGATATAGAAATTTAAAGACAGAATATTTTTATAAGTTGTGAAATTAGTCCTTGATTAATTTTTATTGTAGCACATAAATTGCACACTACATACCAAATAGTTATGTTGTGATCAAAATTAATAATTTGTAAAAGTTTTATAAAATTTGTAACCTCTTAATTTCTTTTATGTATATATATTTTCTTTATACAGATACTTCTTGATGTTAAAGCCCTTTTTGAACAAACTCCAACTATGGTAGAAGTTACCATACCAGGGGTAAAATTTTTATTATTACTATTTCTCCTTGTAGTAAAAATTAATTAAAAAATTTTTATGATCTCTCCTGAATTCTCATTCACCTTTATTTGTGAATGTATACTAAACATATCTATATGTATCTAGTGCATTTTAAAATTAAGGGCTATTTGACTGTAAAGAAAGAAATAAAAAATATATATATAAAGCATTCAAATTAGATGTATTACTAATGCAGTTTTTCTACAAATCCCTTTTCATTCCTATTAAAGTTTTCCATTTATCATTTCAGTTTTTTCCCAGAAACTTCTTATTCTGTGAAATACTTCGCTTAAAATTATTTTGCCTAGGGGTTCAACCATTTTAGTATTGCAATTTTATCTTCTCACTTTCTTCGCATTTTTTAGGTTTAAGCCAGTCTTGAGTTGCAGGAAGGCATGGTAATCACAAAGTATTGAAAAAAAAAAAGGCCACCATTGGAATTTTTTAATTTCCTGAACTGTAAGAACAGCAATGTAAAGGTTCTTATTGTCAGGATTTTTCATTTTACATAGTAATTTCTGAGGTTTTTCAGTTTTTTTCGAAGGGCAAAAGAACAGCAATGTAAAGGTTCTTATTGTGTTTTTAGCATGGTTTTTCAATATTTTAAAGCAATCGAGAAGTCAATTTGCGACATGAAAATTGACAGCATATAAACGGCTTATGTCAAAAAGTAAAAAAAATACAGTTGACATAGCTGATTGTTGTTGCTTTATTCAATTTCTATAATTAGGTTTTCATAATATGAGTTCTTTAAAATACCTTTGCAATTTATAATAATCAGAATTTTTGTAATGAATGAGAAAAGAATTTTTTTTTTGCAATCAATGAATTATACAGAATATTACAAAAATGAACAAACATGATTGCTAAAATGATATAATCATAGATTTATAACCAGTTTAATTAATTTTTTGTGTTCAAAATAGTAACACCCATTCTGGCGGTCTACAATGATTGAATTAACCGAAATGGCAGATGGCGAGGACATCCCGTTGCTTACTGCTCCACAGGGTTTCCCACTTCTACTTGCTTAATTGCTTAAAGTAGAGGGCAGTGAAGGAAACCACTGGTAGTACATTTCTGAAGAGCCACCACTAGCTCAATAAATAAAGGTGATTTAAATAATAAAATGTTAATTCACATGTCAAAGATCTCTTTGCACACAACATTACTTGTGCAGATCTTTCCACCATTTTTAAGCTCGCCTTGCAGAGGACCATCAGTTATTTTTAATTTTATGTCCGTTCTTTCACGAACTCTTGAACAGGCAACATAAAGTTGACCGTGTCTAAATGCAGGGTCAGGTAAAAGAAAGGCCAACATGCTTAAGCGTTTGGCCATGAGACTTATTGATGGTCATAGCAAAGGCGAGTTTTACAGGAAATTGTCTACGTCTCAATTGAAATGGCAACCCTGGGCCATGGCAACTTCACCCCATTGGCTAGTACAGTTACACAAGCAACCAATAAACTATCGGTGAGAAACAGACACTTAAACTGCATATAATAAAGATATTTATTTCATTTTATTTATTTTTTTCATCGTTGCCAGTTGCATATTTCCAAATTCTATTATATATAGATGTTAAATTTATTTATTAAATATTAAATGCATGTGCTCTTGTATTTTTAATTTTTCCTGCTTAGCTTTCTCATAATATTCGTCATGCGCTGCACTGCACGGGGAATAAAACAATTTACAGTTACGCAAGCAACCAATAAACTATCGGCGACAAACACTTAAGATGCATATATATAAGATTAAGATATGTTTGAGAATGTTATATAAGGCAAAAAATTTTCCTCCCTTTTGCCATTGCAGTGTACAGTTCATATATATATATATATTATCACGGATTCTACTAATATATTAATGTTTTATCTTCATTTCTAGGATAGTAAATTCACAGTATGTGGGGACATTCATGGACAGTATTATGACCTTCTAAACATTTTTGAAATGAATGGCTTACCTTCTGAATCAAACCCTTATGTATCCTTGAATTTTATTGTATTTCATTAGGTATTCTTAAGGAAATATATTACTTAAGGAAATGTAAATTGAATTCGTGAGTGCTTTAAAAAGACAGGGGGAAGTTATGTATTTATAAAATTTGGTCTCATTAGATAAATAAATTATTAATTCCTGACAAAGTGTTAAGATATTGGCAAGGCTTACATGTTGTACTATATTAAGATATAGTTCTAGGGCTGTAAAAATCATAACTATGATCATCAAGAAGCTAAGGAGGAGATTGATTCTTGTATCATAAATGGTATATTTGTTATATGCATTGTAAGGTTTAGAAGCAGATAGGCTTGAAGTAAAAAAAAAAAAAAAAGCATTATCTGTAACACAGTGGAAAAATTTTAATGCATTTCTCTCATGTCCGCTTAATAGCTGTCTGCCATCTAAAAGAGAATCCTTATTTAACAGGTATAACCTTCTTTGAAAATAACTGGCTTTTGACCATCAGATGCCAAGTGTTTTCTTTGCTTCCAACCATACCATTGAATTGAATGTTTTTGCTAGGTAAAAGCCTTCTTTGTTTCCCCTTCCTTTTCCTCCCTTTCCTGTTTGCCCCATTCAGGAAATGGGAGTGCACTTCAAATAACTATTTTGATCAACTGGTGAAAATATATTGCATACACATATCAAGTTTGCCCACTGTTGCTGAGTGTTGAAGAATAATTGATTAGTAACCAGTCAATTTCTTCATGACCCTCGTAATGTTTGGTTGATTAGTGTGATTCTACCAAGTCTTAATTTGGTAGGCTTGACAGATTTAAGGGAGTAGCAGTAAGGATGATTTTAAAGATTCATTTTTTATAATCTGAACTGTATAACCCAGTGCTGAATTATTTGTTTGATAGCAGTTCTTCTATAAGAAGCTTTATTAATATATTTAGCTGCAGTTTTTTGAGGCATTGTACTTTTAAATTCAAAATAAAATTACTCTCAGTTGACTTGCTCTTGATAGATGATTTTGTCTCAGTGGGCTTTACTTCGACCTTGTTAAGTGGAACTGCTGTTATTACATCGTTGATGCTTTCATGTCACATCAGAAATTTGAAAAAAGTCTCTGCTTTTGCTTTACACTCCATTTACCATTTCATTTGCAAACAAATCAATAATATAAAATTAGAGAAGTTCATTGTTTCTTCAAATATTTGCTTAAAAAGAAATGTTTTTGACTTGTAATTTCTGAGTTTTGTTTCTAGCTTTTAAGTCTTTAAAATTAGCAGTTTACATTTATAAATATATGTATATATTATATGTTATGTACAAATTCAGTATGTATAGTTTATATTCAAAAGGTAATCATCTGTGCAAAAGCATACTCTGCTTTTTGCACCAGAATCATGATATTGTTTTTTTGATTTGAACAATAATTAATAAATGCGAAGATGTTTTGTCTTTTACTCAAGTAAGAATGATGATGCCAAACTGACAAATTACGTTAGGCCAAAATTGTAGTTCCGTGAAGTGATGGGATTTATAGCCAAAGTAGAGTATCAAAGAACTCATTCTGAATGAAGCATTTTCGCTTATACAAGATTCTTTAGAAATTTTGAGTGAAAAGCCAATTTATGAAGTAAAATTTACAGAAGACAGACTTGAGTAAAAGATGAAACACCTTTGCATTTACTAATTATTGTCCATTGAACGGGAGTTGGGTTGTTCCCCTTGAAAAGTCAACTAATTTCTGATCAATAACAATAATTACTTGTTTTTAATTATTAATTTCTGTTTCAAAGTCTGAAATTTTGTTATTCATGATTTAAATTCAAGCCCCCATAAAACGTTTTTTCATAATTTACATCCAAGTTACTTTAAAGCACAATTTTCGGAATTAAACTTGCTACATATGGGTTCCCTCTTTTTTGATAATAAAATAATAAATAAATAAATTTGATAATCTTTTTTGATAAATTTATATTAGAAGATAATATAATCAATATTTCTTTAGTAAATAAATCATAAATATATGTATATACTATATGTTATGTACAAATGCAGTATGTGTAGTTCATATTCAAAAGGTAATACTCTGCTTTTTGCATCAGAATAATGATATTGTTTTTTTCATTACCTATATAGAACTTATTCTTCAGTATTATCCATGTTTTGTCTCTTGTTCAACATACATAGTCTAATCCTTTACTTTCAATTTACCCAGCATTTTCATGATTCTAAAACGGGGCAAAACTCTTTCTATGACAAGCATAGCAAAATCTCCTCTCTTAGGAAGATGGAATTAAACCAACTTGGAAGGATTCCTCATAATCATCTGTGGTATTCTGGAATAAGGCCAAGTGGGTCCTTTCAAATATCACCTAGAAAATATTAGATGACCTAAGTAAAATTATGTAGAGACTTGAATTTTTACTGTAATGACAATTGTATATTGAGCAACATGAGCTATAAAGCTGATAAAGTAGCTAAATCATTCCATCCAAATTAAGGTCTGTAATTAGCCTCTGTTTCATCTTTAGGTGTGATGAGCACAGATTGAGTTTTAAAGCTGTAATATTTCTAGTACCTGTAAACACTTACATGCATTGCTGTGTGATATGAAATTAATAATTTAGTATTTTATAAATTTTCCTGTGCCATAGGTAAACTTACATATTATGTTCATTTCATACATATTTTTATGTTCTTATTGTTACTGATGTTAATGGGGGAGGGTTTTCTCAGAAAGTGCTAGTGACATTTTTCAATCTTGTTAATTTAGGTTATTTTATGCATTTAATATACTGTATTATTATTGAGTAATATTTCTTAACAATCAAAGTTATTTAATGGTGATTTTGTTGACAGAGGCTCTTTTTCAGTAGAATGCATATTTACATTGTTTGGTTTTAAACTGTTGTATCCTAATCATTTTTTCATGTCTCGGGGTAAGTTACATATTTTTGTTATGGTATTTATCATAATCAGTTGTTAAATTTGGATTTAAATATGCAGTTTATTATTTTTTTTATCTTTATCTTTGCAGGTAATCATGAAAGCCAAACCATGAATCAGATGTATGGTTTTGAGGGAGAAGTCAAGGCTAAATATCCTTTTAACTTTGAAATGTGACTTAATAAGTTTTGGTGTTAATAATTAATTTGTTTCTTTCATAGTTTAATATATAAAATGTTCTGTAAAACATAAAATAAATATTTTGCAGAGAAAATGCCATATTATTGAAATTATACTAAAGCATTATATGAATTTTAGTATATATTTAGAGAACAAATTTTACAGCTTTTGCTCTTTCTGGTGAATCATAATAATCTAAAAGTTTGATTTAAAAACGAAAAAGCATTGTGTTGTGTTAACTTTCAAGACTTCTGTGAGGCCACTCAGTTTGTTTTCTGTCAATACAACACTTGAAAAGTAGCTTTAAGATGCTTTCAAAAAATGTTTATGCCAAATTAATTTATAAAGTTTCTTAGTGGGAATATGTACAGGTGGTTAGTCTTTCCATCAGCATGTTGCAGAAATTCGTTGTGTTGAATTTTTAGACAGCATTTAGAAGATGAAATAGAAATTCTTTCAGTGAGACTGGAGAATAAAAGCAATATTCAACACATTCAATTTAATACAGTCCACAACTGTTAGCATTTTGTAATAAAGATTTTAATGCTCCAGTATTGATTTAGACAGCTTTTTTGTCAAATGACTGAAGCAGGAACCCGTCTTTTGCAGATACTGTTCTAGTACCTAATCAGTGCTTCAGAGTTTTCCAACTTGAGTTCCATAGATTGATGAATGACATAATGAAGTACTGAACAACAAAATTATTTGTATTATTTTGGTTAGGGTAAAACATGAGAGGGCTATTTGTCTAAGAGGATAGATGTCCTTGTGGAGGACTCTGTAGGAGAAACTGGCTTGTATCCACATTTCACATGGATATGAAATATGAAAATGCTCATGCAACCAGTCTGTTGGCCTGAAATTGAACCCAGGTCAAACAACCATTGTTCATCAACACTACCACTCGGCCATTGGTCAATACCTAAAAGGGAAGGTTATGGGATACTCTGCGTTATAAAGGCTCATTAAGAGGGGTATGTGAAAGAGAAAAAATGGGACCCGCAGCTTTAGCATATGTAATTTGATTCAAAATCGAACCTTTTCGAAAAGGCATGCTAATATTTTTTCTGTCTTTGACTCATTGTCTAAAATAAAGCCCAAGTTTTGTAAAAATTGCACAAATATGTTTCTTAATACAGAATTTTAATTTCATAATGTAAATTGTGATAGTGTAGCTTTTGTCCTTGAAGACATTTAATTGCCTGATGTTACATCTCTCGTTTTTCATAATTTAACTTCTTTCTCTAACTGTTTGCGAATTGATGGCTAATACAGAACATTCCTACATGATGTGGTATTTTCTAGGTATATTAAATTCAGGCAGGTATATTAAAAGCAAAATCATGAAAATAAGTAGATAATATTTTAATTAAAAGAAATAACTTAAAAATAGGTACTGTATGTTCAAATTAGTTATTTTATTTCTAAAATAGAATAGATGGAATGAATAAAATTTTAATTAGTCAAAAATTAATATTTTCATACATTTCTGTCAAAATTTCAAAATAGTTCTTTAACTTTACACGTATTCAGCACAGATGGCTGATCTTTTCACAGAAGTATATAACTGGCTACCATTATGTCATTTGCTGAATAACAGAGTTCTGGTTAGTACTTTTTATTTTATAATAATTGTACAAAATTTTATAATAATATGTTTAATATATATATTAAATATTTAAATTTAAATATGAGGTTCTGCCTCTCTTTGGATTAAAAATGATTGAATTTTATTTCTGCTTCATATGTATTTAGTACTGGCTAAACTTCCAAAATGTTTTTTCTATATTCAAGCTTTCTGAATTCATATAAAGAGCTGATTAGATTTTGAACAAAATTGAATAGGATTGAAGGGATACTTTTATTGCAACCTATGAGAATTTTGAATGGGCAGCCAGAAGTGGTACTTTACTTGAAAACTGTTACAGTTTTTAATGAAAAACTAAATTAAAATTTAATCCAAAACTTTTCCATTTTTGTATTTAAGACTTATATCAATAAGAACAGCATATTAGGTTTTGGTTAAAATTGATGAAGCAGATGTTATGCTTTATATGAAGCTCTGAATAGACTTTCATCAAAAAATATATTGTATAATCCAAAACTTCTCGAATTTGATATTTAAAACTTGTATATGTGTATATGATGCATATACCATCGAAATTAAGGAAACATTAAATTTGACTATGTGATAAATAAGGAATAATATTTTCCTTCTCAAATTTGATATTTAAAACTTGTGTATGTGTATATGATGCATATACCATCGAAATTAAGGAAACCTTAAATTTGACTATGTGATAAATAAGGAATAATATTTTCCTGAAACTCTTAATAAATCTTGGTAGAAAGATGTAGAATCACTGTAAGAAGAGTTTAATCTAAATAATTCAGCACATGTAAGGCACGAAAAGTGCACATGTAATTCCCTTGCAGTGTTGATGATGAGACACGAGAAAAGTGCAATTTCAAAAACACCTATTGTTTACATCTTACTGGATCTTGGAACTAATGATAACCTTTTCAGCTGTAAATCTCAAAATTAATAAATATTCTTTACTGATATCTAAATATCGTCGAGCTATAGGTGTATATCAAAACTAATTTAGACTTTTTTATATGATAGAAATAGCATAGAAGAAAATTATTTGTTTCAAAGGATTTATTTTAGATATGTAGCCTAAATAAACCATTCTGAAATATTATGAAAATGAGGGCCTTGGTTCTCTATGAAATGCAGCTGCGGTGGAGGATCCCAACCGAAGGGACTACATAGTCAAGTGTAGGAAATTAAAAACCCAGTATGGATTTATTCAACCTGAACATTAAGAAGATTAAGAAGTCAGTCTTGAACATTAAGAAATTTCTTGAGATTATAAGTAATATGCAACCACTCTTGACACCTAGAAACACTTTGGGTCTTAATTAATGTCGAAATAATCCATAGAAAAAAAGATGTTGCACCTGTGGAGTCTTTTTTTTTTTTTTTTTTTTTTTCCACTTAAGGAAGAGTATCCTGACAGAAACCCAAACTTGCAAGTCAGCAATAATGAATGCATTGTCAAAATGTACAAGCTTTAGGTTATAAAAGTTCCATAATAATTGACTTTATTCCCATAAATAAAAAATAGCAGAATCTTATACATTAGTCACTTGCATCATGAAGTGCTGCTACCTTTTCTGTGTATTATTTGATTGTGAACTTAGGAAATTAGAAAAAGGTATCTTCACATTTTCCTCCAACCCCTAAATATGTACTAGAATTTTTTTAAATTAGGTAGAGAATTTTGTGAGGGGGCTCTGTAATTGTAAATTTTTAACTTTTTATACATCTTCTGCTGAACCTAAATTCCAAATTTTTAGATTAAAAATTCATGAAGGTGTAATTATATGTTTTTATTGAGTTTACTACAAATTTCCACTCAAGGCAAAACCATCAGTTGCTAATTTTTTTGGGGGGGATAAGTGTTTCCTATATGATTAATAATAAACATAGAAAATTATTTGAAAAACTAAAATGTTGACTCCTTCCAAGAACTATGACTTGTACTATGAATGTATGAAATATTTATTTTCCACAGAGTTGCCTCGCTACCTGAAAAACTCGAAAATTGACCAAAAAATTCAGAGAAAAATCAGGGAATTTAAATATTTTAGTCAAAATCTGAAAAGATCTGGGAATTTCTTACTGCAGTCTCCAAAAAGGTGATTTTTGTGCCATCGTCAGAAGCTATCACTTTCTTGGCGAATCATGTATTACGTGAGCTTCATTCGCAGTGACAATCAGATTGTCTTTTAGAAAGGCAAAGCAAATTACCAGCATCTTTGGTTTCCAATAATCTCAAGAATCCAGAGATTCAAATGCACATGTGCAGTGCACTTTTGTTCACAAAAGTAAATCCCCCATTCCCATATGAAAGAAAATCTTTTAAACCTTTTCTTAAATGCCTTATTTGTCATTATGCAGTTAAAAAAAATAATAATCAGTCATCTAGGCTAAACATTTATGCAAAATATCCTCGATTTTTGTAATTCAGTTTTTAATCCGTAATTAACTTTATTTTACTGTTATTTGTATCATTTAATGTGCCTTCTTCCTTCTAAATTTATTTATTATTATTTAATAAAACTTTCATATTTAAGGCAGTTTTCTCTGGCATACTTGTGAAACTGATTCTAGCAGTAGTGTGCCATCCCATCGCGAAATTCAGTGCACATATTTTTTACTTATGTATGCTGCTAAATAAATATAAAATACTTGAATTTATTTTAAAATATTAAATAGATTTCTTTCTTTAGCTGCAAATTATCTGCAGAAAAGACATTTTTATATCCCAATTGGGCAGATTTTAATCTCAGACTAAGGACTGAGGTTAAAAAAACAACTTTTGTTATAAAAGTAATGCTTTAAGGGTTGTATATATATATAAGTCATGTAATTGGCAAATTTTTGTGTTAACAATTGGGACCATAATTAATTTACTCTCAGAGCCAACGTCCACTAGACGGATAGCCTGGAATTTTCTTTAAACACACCTGGAAAAGTCAGGGAATTTCATTCTCCTAAGTGGCAATCGTGTTTCCAGTTATGTAAGAATAATATTTTATAAATCTGAATTTTTTGCTTTATGAAGATAACGTAAAAATTGAATTTTATACTTATAGATCTACCATCTTTACCACTGAAATATTATTTCTCTTATTTTTAGAAATGTCATAGGAGTACATATCTAGGATCAGTATTTAAGACAATAAAGCTTATAACCTTTCCCCCCCTTTTTTTTTACTGGAGAAGTGCAAGTTAAGGAATGCCCTATACATATGTACTGTTATTGAAAGTGACATCTACTGTTAACTTGTAGTGGTATGTACTTGGAATATGGAAATGGTTTTCAGAGGAATTTGCCTGGTATAATTATATATACTTTGAAGCTGAAGCTCTTTAGTGTGTGGTTATAGTTATTTAAAAACTTTGATTTGAAATTCTAATTTAGCTGTAGTTGCAACCACATCAGTAAGTGAGCTATTCAGGATCTCATTTGTATGTTGTGACTTATGTAAAACGACATTTCAGGTCATGCATGGTGGTTTGTTCTCAGAACCAGGAGTTACTTTAAATGACATTCGTCAAATAGACAGAAATCGGCAACCCCCTGAAAAAGGTATGTGAATAATGAAACAATTTAAATTCTTATATGCTTATTCCTGTGTAAAAATATACTTCTGAATTAAAAATGAAATTTTGATTTTTATATTAGCAGAAGATCTTTTACACCATTTTCAACTGTTATGCAAGATTTGCTATACTATAGATGCTTAGTACTAGTTAATGTAATTTTCCATGCATATGCTGTTTATTATTTGTCTGGGTGATTACAGACTTTCTTCCTTCATAAGATAATTGATGGTGTTAGTTTCCTGCATCTTATCCCTTTTTTCCAAAACTAACCTGAGTAGTAAATGCATGTCATATAATGCTTGAATGTTGCTAACCAAAGGGAAATAATAGTCAGCTATGGGGAATTAAAGTTTAATTAACATTACATAATTTAAGAATTCATGTGAACATCACAAAAAGTAAGTATGACTGAAACAAATATCTATCACACATGCAAGAAATGTTCAATTTACTATTCACTATAGTCTACTACAAGCTGAAAGTGCAAAGCAGCATGTATCAGTTCAAGTACAAGTGCAATGTCAGTGGAACACCAGAATTTCAGAACAGGTGTAGTCTCACGACAGTAACTGCACAGCTCCAAACCAGTTTTGATGGAGTGTGCCACAGGAGATGGTCCAAGAGTACCTTACAACTCTTTGAGTGCACCCATACCACACAGATACCGTACATTTACAAACACCCATGTAATGTGTATATTGTTCATATTTTTAAAAATGTAAATATTTTTTAAGTATAGCACAATACTTAATATATATATATTAATATACACAATACTTAATATAATATATATAAAGTATTGTGTGCCAAGTTGCCCAAGTTTGTAATCTAACCACAGTATACAACACTTCTAGAGGTGCTGTTACTGTGGTTAGGTCTGACCCCCAAAGAGTGACAAAGGTTAAAATCAAGTCAACAGGGAAAATTATAGTTGATAATCTTGTTATTTCTGAATGGAAGTTCAATATAGTTGCTGCAATGTGGGAAGGAGTGCTATCTTACGTAAAAATGTGCTATTTAACACACTTGCACTTTTGAAGTAAAGGAAGGGTTCAGCTGCACAAGAGATTCACACCGTTGTTCAGTAATGAAGCAAGTAGGAGTACCTATCTCTTAAAAAAGTGGAAGAATGATAAATGCTGCCATAAACCATTATCACATAGTGATTATTGCAACATGAAGAGGCAATGGTTGCAGTGGTAATGGAGTCTTATTTGCTCGCATTTTGCAATTTTGCTTATTGACAGCACCTTGGAGAACTTCGACTGTCCACAAAATGTTCTATAGCCATACATTGCCCACTTCCAGCCAAGCAAAAAAAGATGTAGGGTGAAAAGTTTTTGTCGTGGGTCAGCAGGAAGCACCTTTTGAACTTGTGTAATTTTATATGGATAGCATTGCAGAATAATTCATAAAATTTTATGAACTGTTCTGACAGGAATATCTAAATTTTGGGCAGTTCCCTGTGCATTGCAGCTTCCCACACCACTGCTTCTCTCATCCTGCAGTGCTTTAGCCATATCTTTCTCTGATGGTATCGAAGGAAATTTTTTTTTTCCTTCTGCCAGGTTTTCACATTCGAAATGATTTCTTCAAATATGAGAATTTGTAGGCTTTTGCTGACATTGGACCAAATTTTAAACCTTTTAATGTATGGAACTTACTAAAAGTAGATAATGCATAGTCACCATTCTGGTAAAAGAAAAAAAAAGAGAGACATCTGAAGCAAAACATGCACTTTCTTTTTTCTGACTGAAGGATTATATGTCAGAGTAATACTAATTTAATAAGCAACCAAGTGGCCAAGTCTTCCTCCCTCCTTCTGCATTTCTTGTATATTCAAATCAAACTTCAAGTCATTCTGACCAATGATTCATATTTTTATAGCATTTTGGAATCAGAACTTGCATTATAATCAACTTGTATATCTGTGGCATGTGTCTGTCAAAACGTATTTTAATTTATTCATGCTTGCTATATATAAAAGGAATGTATTTAAAATTTTAACCTATTTAGTCATCACTTGATAAAAATGATCTGTTCTATTTCTTCAGCAGTTGAACTTACTTATATAATGTATGGAATGAATATATATATTTACATACACACTTTTTTTTTTTTAGGTCTTATGTGTGAATTACTATGGTCTGATCCTCAGCCACAACGTGGTATCTCCCCCAGCAAGCGTGGGGTTGGTGTACAGTTTGGTCCTGATGTGACAGAAGAATTCCTTTCTAAAAATAATTTAGATTATATTATCCGTAGCCATGAAGTTAAGGCCGAAGGATATGAAGTCACACACAATGGAAAGTGCATTACTGTATTCTCTGCGCCAAATTACTGGTAAGAAAATATGTTTGTTGTATTCAGTAAGGAACCTTAACAAATTAGAATGAATGTTAAAAAAAATGCTATGTTAAATTTCTTTTACAAGATTTTATTTACATGTGGTTTAGAAATAATGTGCTTAAAATTTGATGATACATGCTAGAAATGCATTCAACACAAAATTTTGATTCACTTTATTTATCACTACTTTATTTGTATCAAGTAAAATTTTATTTTTACTTTTCTTTTCCTGTTAGATTGTTGGTTTTTTTTTTTTTTTTTTTTTTTTTTTTTTTTTTTTAATTAGCTTAGTGAAAGGATAGGTAATTAGAAATGAAGAAAATAGTTGCTGCTAATGTCACAATGATAATCACAATAAATAAGAATTGAAAGAGAAAAAAAAAAATTATAGCAAAAGCTTCTTTGTAGATAAATATATACTTTTTTAGAAAGGGATAATTATTAGCAGTCATCATGATGTAACTGAGAATGTGCATTTTGTTTTCTCGGGAGCGAAGTGTTTAATACTAATGTATAGAAAAATAAGCAGTAAATAAGGGTGTAGAAAAGAAATTAAAAATAAATTAAAGGAATTTATTCAGAATGTATTGATTTGCATGATTTATTTTAAAATTCAAACATTTTATTTAACTAGAAACTATGTATTAAAATTTGGGGAGAAAATTAATGGACTAAGTAAGTATATGAAAAAACTGTGTACTTAACATGAAATAAAGTATTAAAACAGCAATATTTATTAAAGTTTTATTCAAAATTCTGTGAATAAGACTTAAAAAATATCATAGTTCTTTTATATATTTATCTAAATAATCTATAGGAAAATCAAGTGAATATTTAAATAATAATGCTTTGTACAAGAGTTCCTCTAAATTTACCCTGCTATGTGTAGTGCACTCTCAGAAATTATACACCTGCTGATTAGATTTGCTGTGACGATGGAAGTGTTATTAATAGAAGGGCTGATTTTTTTCTTTATTATTTTTCTGTTATATTTCAAGATAAGCTTTACATTAGATGTGTTAGACTGCAATAGCCTTTCCCCCCTCCCACATTAGTTGCATTATGTCAAATGATAGCTGAATACTACTAGTGTGCCAACTGTGCTTTAGCTTATCCCAAAGAGATTGACTGGGATTGAAATGCTAGGTATTTGCAAAGCATGCAATCAGTAAACTAGCTTAACTAGAACAAGTATGCTGTGTTCTGAGAAAAGAAATCGTCTGCAAGTATTTGCCATAATATAGGTTAGGTTATTTGTTATCAAAGCACACAAAGACTATTTGCCTAAGAAGAGGATTGTTTTTGTGGAGGAGACTTTCAAATGGAAATTAGCTCATACTAATGTTAGACTTGGGGAAAACAGATTAAACCTCTTTGCTTGGGCTCAAACCTGAGTATTCAGCAATTTTAATTATTTAGCCATTTGTGGGATGTGCTGTAATGTAGGAGATATATTACCATCTAGAACAGAGGTGTCCCACCTTTTAGTAGTGTTCTTGGGTCACCCCACTAGAAGAGGAGATAATTTGGGACGACCTCCAAAATAAGTGAATTACACAATTGCATAGGTTTCATGAAAACTTTTTGGGTTTGCTCAGCTTTCACCACTTGAAGGAATTTTTTAATTTCACCTCTAGGGGAGAAATTTGAGGTTTTGATCAAATTTGCTGTAAATGTACTTAAATCAAGTGAATCAAGGATTCATGTGATACATAGGGCAAGCCACTACTTAATATATATATTTTTTAAATATAATAACAGTAGCATAGAATTAGTTTGACTTTTTATTTGACATTTTATACATAACATTTCATTGTAAATTTTTTTTATAATTATAAAGGTATTAAGAAACCATATGATATTTTAACCTGAATATGAAATACTAATGCATCGGTTTATGATTCGATTGAAGTGGTTTCAATGCTCAGGGAGTTCTCAAGGTAGTCATCCAGTATTTTGGTTCTAATTTTACTCTTAATGTGCTTTACTCTTGAAAATAGTGATCATGGATGACTGGGCAAGGCATATTTGTCTCACTTTGGAGGCAAGCCAGAAAAAGATTTGGTACTGCTTCTCCACTAAATGAGTATTTCACTTTGCTGCAACTGGGAGCATTAAATAGCCATCCATTCATGTTGAGCCAGCCTCAAACCCTGATTGTAACATTAAAATATGTCAAGTTATGGTCTTGATATTTCTTTTGTACTTGGATACCAGCCCTCAAACCTGGAAAAATATCAGTGTGTAAACAGTAAAAGCTTTCTAAATTTCACTGTCAGTTGAGCTATTCTTCAGACTAGCTAAATTATTTTGTCATCTTTACATTTTCCAGCAAATATCATCCACATGTCTATCAGAATCTTAGATCATAGAATCATTTCTATCTAATTTGAATGCATGCAACATCAGTGCATTCTGCTTATGTACTGTTTTTGTACTAGGTATACCGAATGTGTATATTGTTATACTATATATTGTTCTTATACTATGCAGTTATGTTCAAACATGTCTGCATTTAGATACTTAATTTTTTTTTTTTTTTTTTTTTTTTAAAGTTCAGACCTTAGTCTGTCTTCTATTATTTATTATAACCTGAAGTATTACCCATATTAATTTGTTAATAACTGTGACATGTATCCCCATGGAAAGGCCATTGATAATGCATGCAATTTATGTACAGTAACCATGTTATGTGATAGGTAGTCAGTATTTAGATAGTCGGCTTGAAGTCTTCTTAAGTGCTGTTTTCAGATATTATGTATAGCTGAATGTGTATTAGCTATACAATATACTGTTCTTATACACTATGCAATTATGTTCAAACATGTGTGGTATTAAGATACTTCAGTATAAGTCTTCTATTATTCTGTTATAACCTAAAGCATTACTGAGGCTATTCATATTAATTTGTTAATAACTGTGGCATGTACCCCCATGGAAAGGCCATTGATAATGTGTGTAATTCTATGTGCAGTAAGCCACGTTATGTGATAGGTATGCATAATAAGCATAACGGTTAGCAAGCATCCGATCTTTGTGTATTATTCTTCAGGAATAATTCCATGGAAATATCCACAAAAGCACATGATGCTATTTTCCCTAGAACTTTTGGACTCTCAATTTTTACCTTTACTATGACTATGGACTCATTTAGTGATTCAAACACGAAGGCATATTATTGTCAAAAGTAATTCCCCCCCCCCCACACACACACATAATTGTAGCATTCCTATGCAAGGTGACTAAGCAACAATAACCTATCCTGTCCATGAAACTCATCAGTGACAACAAATAAAACTGTGTCTGTCGGTCCTACCCTAAGATTCTTCCACTGAACAGGCATCATTCCGCATGGATTTCTAGGACGGAAGCCGGGTCCGTGGTGTACAGTCATGTCTAGTAGTCCTGATCATAAAATCAGATGAAAATTATTTGCAGTAGCTGCTAAAATTTGCTAGTAATTTTATTTAACAAAATGCTGTAGACTTTTTCAATACTGATCATTCAGTTTTTTTTTTAATTATCAAGTCACTTTATTAGTATGATGTTTATGTGGCATTTGAACTTCGTAATAACTTAGTTGTCCATAAATCTCACCAATAATTATATGGCTTTCATTCATAGTATTTGCCATTCATACATGGACTTGACATTTTTTATTATGCATATCTGATGTGTTAATATGTTTATATATTTTTTTTTTTAATTGGTCAAAAGTGTGTCTGTATGATATGATAAATCATGCAATCCATTTTGGAGGATTGTCAGAGATTTTTGATAATATAGGATAATCTACTTTTAGAAGAAATATTAATACTGCATCAACTTGTATTTAGACATATTAGTAATTGTAAATATTGTGTAAGGTAAAGTACCGTATTTGACGGCATATAAGACACACTTTTTTTACTAAATTTGGTCTCAAAAAAGTTACTTGCATCTTATATGTGAAAAACATCTTATACGTGAAGGTAATTGCATTCAATAATTGTTTATTTGGCTTTTACGAAACGTGAAATTTAAAAGAAACCATGCTATTGAAACTTTTTTCCCTTGTGTGTGGCCGTCTAAATAAGGGTGCGTCTTATATGCTGTCAAATACGGTAATTCCTTTGGAGTGAGAAATTTTTTTTGCTCAATATAATTGTAATTTTAAAATAATGTATTCCTCTTAATATGTTTAAAAAATTTCCTTCTAAATTTCAGTGATACTATGGGGAACAAAGGTGCATTCATCACTATGAAAGGAAAAGATATGAAACCTAATTTTGTAACATATTCAGCTGTTGTAAGTATATTGCATATCTGTGTAATTTTTGTGAGCTTTCCTTTCTGACTGCCTTTGTATTTATATTTTATGTAATCAAAATTATCAATTAACATATATGTTAATTGGTAGCTGACATTTTTTAATGAGTTAGGTTTCTAATGTAGTCAGCAATTGACTGCTGAATTGTGGAGACTTTTGCAGACAACGCTGTAAACTTTGATATAAGCCCAAAGATGGGAATGTTTTTCATAATTTCTTTCATTTGTTAAATAATTGTACTGTTTCTTCTTGGGCCAATGGTATTGATTTGCTAATTAACAAAAATGTCTTTCTAGTTATTGTTTCATGTGTTTATGAATTAATAAAAATAGAAAAACATGCAAATATATTTAGTTTAAGAATTTTATGTTAAATGTAACTTGTTAAAAGAAGCTTTCACAGATAACCATCAATGAGAGGTAGAATAGATGGTTTGATAAAGTTCATATTCTTTTATTGCTTTCTACAGGATTGCTATATTCAGAACCAGTGTCCAGATATGCAGAAGACTGAAAGGAATGCCTTTGTTCCAATATGTTCTAGTGCTTCTGATTTTGAGGCTGCTTCTATGCCAAGATTAGTTGATTTTGGATTTATCCCATTCAGTTACTTAGATATTCTAATTGATCACAGACAAAATCTAACAGAAATAAATTTATTGGAACATTTCCCTATTATCACATTATCTCTTGCATCAGTTGTGTGTTTAAAGCATTTGGACTTGCTAAAACCTCTGAGCCATCTACCTGAAAATTGTTAAGAACAGAAATATATCTATAAGTTCTCTGCCAACCACTACATCGTCTTTAGTTTAACATTCCTTGGAGCATCCAGGGAGTGCAACAAAGCCAAAATCATTAACAAAACATGGCATAAAAGCAACCTTAAAATCACAAAAGTGCCATTAAACCATACAGCAACAGAGAAACTATCCTTTTAACCTACAGTGTATCTGGATATTAGTTGAGAAGTGCATGAACCATGCAGAAAATAATAAGAGGTGGGAACTTGAACAAACTATTCATGTCAGCTCCAGCTGCTGAAGCAAATGAATTGTCTGTGAATGCTTTTGTTTTCACTTACATGTTATGTTACTTATGTTAACATGCTAAATTAGACTATTTTATTTCCGTTTAAACTTCACTCTAACTGCAGAGAATTAAGAGCTTTTAAATTCTTTTAATTCTTAGCTATGTTTTAAATGTTTGATTTAATTACTTTAAATAATTTTTTTTTTCTTTCTTTCTTTCAGCCCCATCCAAATGTCAAACCAATGGCATATGCAAGTAGTTTACTTGCTTTTATGTGACAGTGGCCATCCTAGATAATCATAGTTTCTCAGGAAAATCAGTTTTGTAAATACAGAAAAATCTTCTCCTTGTTAAAAGCAGCACTGATTTTGCAAAGACTCCTAAAAGAGGAGTGTTTATATTTAGTTGTATACTGTTTTAATAAATAATGTATATACTTTTTATGTGAGATCATATTTCTACATTAATTTAGTTTTAATATATGTGCATATATGTTTATTGCATTGTATTTTTTTATTCAGTCATAGGAGTATTTATATTTCACCAACTCATTGAGTCTTCACTGAAGTACAGTGCTTCTGTTAATCAAGTTGTAAAGAATAATAATTGTGAGAATTTCTAATTTTGATGTGATTTTTTAAAAAGGAATCATGTGAAGAATTGTGGACACCTGAAAAGCTCAAAAATTAGAAGTTATTTTTTTATACCTGTAGCTTTTGGAAACAATTTGGGATGTATATAGCTGACAATGATGAAGTAAACATCATTGGAATGAAGCTTTAATGTAGCAAAATTAGCAATGTATATCAAGTGATAGATATATGTATATTATGTATTAACTGTCTTAATGCCATTAAAATATTGATTTAAAATACTATACACAAAGGAAGCTGAGCTTTTATTTGAATAGTTTCCAAAAATCTTTTATTATAAAATAATGAATTCATAATAAGCTTAAGATGAAAAGATGCACTATACATGTAAGAAAGCATTTTTACAAGAAATTCAATTCTCAAACAAAAATACAATCGGTGAAACTGCATCTAACAAAAAAAAAAAAAAAAAAATAGTATGATGTGTTAGAGTTCAGAGTAATGTTGAGTGACCTTCTTTTTTTTATATAAAAGTGTGATTTCAAATCATGAACTGATTTCATTGCACTCAATACTTGCAGAACCATCTTCGCTGGAATCTGGGCAGACACATGAACGACCACCTCTTCCATCAGGTAGACACAAATATCTGCAGCCACCATTGTCCACAGCACACGGGCTTCCCACTATTAAATAATGGACTAGATTATATCATATTTATGTAAAATGAAGTTAAGTTGTTAAAAATTAACTTTTCACATGCTTAGAATTCAATATGATTTAGACAAGATTTTATTACAGGGTGTTAAAAGAAGCAAGTTGCAGTTTTTAAATATTGCATTAATTCATATTTTATGTGTAAATTTAAGAGTGTATGTAAAAATCTGCAATGGAATAAAGTTATATAACATGAAAAAGCTTATTTATTTTGGAAACTAGATATCTTTTTAGAGCTTTTGATATAATACTTTGCTATCTAAAAAATACTGAAAGTTTCTAATTTATTTTTATATGAATAAATTGAATGCTTCATGGTATCACTGTGTATCAAAGTGATATTTATAGAGAAACAAATCTTCCCCCCCAACTGTCATAACATCACTCTTTCAAAATAAAAGACACAAATACAAAAGAATATTTTAAATGGCCTCAAATATACCTTGCTCCTTACTTTATATCAGATAAATCAATTTTTGCTAATATTGTGTTTATAATTTTCTGAAACTCAATTTTTAATTAAAATTTGGATTTCTGATTTGAGTTTCTGGTAGACAGTGGGTAAAAACAAATCTAAGAATTTCATTCGTGCATTTGAGAAGAATCAATTTTGTAAAAATTTAATGTTCTATTTGATTTACTTCTGATTTAATAGTATGAAAATGTGCATCTTATTATGTGTTCGAAATATTCAAGTAAGTTGTGAAGGTAAAATTGTTGGAACTTGCTGTAAATTTCTTTATAAGACCAACCTCCCCCCAAAAAAGGATTTGAATTCTTGAACCTTCAGTTGCATACACTTTTGTTAAAAAGTATAAAACTACCTAAAATTTTGTTTTAATCTCCAACATATGTTGCAAATTAATTTTTTCGCAATATTTCACTATTATTTATATCATTAAGTAATCTGTGTAGAATATTTAGAGATTCCTTAGTTTTTTAAAACATTACAATTGGTGAAGTTAACCAGAGAAAGATTCAAAAATTTTTACCTGCAGGACAGTAAGAAGGTAATGATACCACACCATACATTCTTCCACTTCCACCAGCTGGAACTTCTAAGGGTTCAGCATCACCACCATTTACGTGTACTCGATGCAAAAATTTGCTGTAGAAAAAAAAATTATGTTCATTTTATAAGTAATGAGGTATAACTTTCTCTCTCGATGTAAAATTCAGTGTTTTGTGTGTTTGTAGCTGAGTTATAGGTCAAAAGAAGACAATTTCAGATGAGTCCAAAAAATTATGAAATTTTTTGAGGGGTTAGAAGTTACCTTATTTGTTTCTAATATTAATTTCTGAAGATTTCAATTAACTATATTTATTTTCTTCTAGAGCTATCCCCCTTGGTAGATTAACAACCTGCATGTATGTTGTAATCCTAAAATGTTTTCATAGGGGAACCTTCTGCGTAATAAATAAATTGCACATTATATCTGATGTAAAAAAAAGTAATGCAGCTGAAATATAAAGATAAGTAATAAAAATGAATAATAATTCAAAAAAAATCTGAAAACTTTCAGAATTTACATTATGCCGAAAGAGGCTTTTTTTAACACTTTGTGTGTTACCTGTTTTATTAAATATCATATTTTTCACACTTAAACCATAAAATTAAATTCAACAGCAATATAGCAAAATAATTTTAAAATGAGCATATCTTTAGAATTTCCAATACGCAGTTTTGCGTGTTGGAGATAAAAAGTGTCCCCCCCCCTTACAGTCTTGCCATTGCTTGCTTTGAAATCGTTGAGTTTCTTAATCAAAACCATAAATGCTTTACAAAATATGAAATTGATAATGAAACAAATTCCATATTCCAAATTAGAGCTTCCAGACACCCATTATTCGGTAGAAGATTATGTTATTCAAAATTTGATGGCTCTAGGTACCGTTGTTTTGTCAGAGTGCAACATACATACATTTATGCAGATTCTTCATTATTTAATTCCTTTAAATACAACACAAGGCGATAATATTTGGTGACAACAATTTGAAAAGTGAATCAATGCAAAACGAAATAGTCCTTCTGGCTCATTTGCCTGTCTGTTTGGTTTAGTTCAGTTATTTGACTATGGCAGAGCATAACAAGAGATATTTGCTCAAGGGATGCATTCTAAGAGAGACTGACTGATGAAAAAAAAATTAACCGTGTAGCCAGCCTCTTTGCGTGGCTTTTAACCTAAGATGAACCACCATATTTGGCAGTCTAACCGTTTGACCATTGGTGGGGTGGATATTTGCCTATAGAGAGGACAGATTTTCTAAGGTAAAAGGTTTCATTTAATAGCATAAAAGTGGCATCAAAACTGGAGAAAAATCCCCACCAAACTGTATTGCAACAGAGACTTCCCATACATCTGGATTATGATTCTGAATACAGCAATCTTGTAGAAAGCAATACAAGAGGAGCCTGATCAAACCATCTATTTTAGCTCCTATGTTTAAAAGCTGTTTCAGCATGTCATCATTGAATATTTAACAGCATTTTCATTTTAACTGCATGTGTTAGTTAATTTTTTATTAGGACAAAGCAAAAGAAAGAGTAACTTAACATTCCATAAAAAATTGCTTCTAATCTCTGACAAATGTATTGTTTGGTAACTTCCAAAATATTGCCAAATGTTAAACAATATATAGAGTTATTTAGTTACAAAGTATACTCACATCTCCCAGTCTGTCCAGTAAATATAGTTTTCATGAATGGCTATTCCAAAGGGATAAGCAGCGGGAGTATAAACTAGTCTCCTGCCTTGGCCATTGAGGCCTATGCATTCTATTCTTTTCAGTCCTACAAAAAGATGCATAGATCATGAGTTAATAACGGTGATATGTGTTTAAAAATCTCAGAAATCATTCATTGTAGCCATTCACTTCACTAAATCTGGATAGAGCTCTAAATAATTTAGCTACATTACAATCAGTTTTTTAAATTTAGTAAAATCTATGCTGTTTGTTATCCCATAATATTCACTAATTCTTTGATAACGCGTTGTGCCCATAAAAGTCCTCATGCGGCCTTTATTTTCGCAGTAGTTGATCAATACTTTTCATTTTATTTGCCTGAACTTGCTCATTGTTTTGTAGAATGTGATTTTTTTTTTAATTCTATGAATAAAATCTTTTTGGAAAACATATTAGAATTTTTTTGTGACATTTCCACAGACCTTTTTCTTAATTTGACATCATGAACATTTTTCTAAACTGATATTTCATTTTTATTTATATACAAACACAAATATGTCTCTCTTTGAATATGATGTTGAACTTTAAATACTACGTTAAATTTTTCACGAGACAAACTCGTATGTTATTTTGTATGATAAATAAAAATTTTATTATATTTAATGAAGGAAATCTTGCTAATTATAACTATGTGAATTAAGGGACTGTATAAACAGATTTTATAACTTTTACAAAATTAATTTCTTTAAATTTAAAAATCTCGAAGTATGACTGTTTCATTTAAAACATTTTTGAATAAGGAGTATACATTTATGACCAATGCTTGCAAAAATAAAAATTGTATAGAGACTGTTATGAACACAGCATATATTATTAAAATCCATAAATAAGGAAATTAAACAAAAATTCATCACAAAAAAGTTTGTTTTCAAAACATATGTATTAATATGAATTTTATGTATGTATCATTCCGTTAAAAAATTAAAGATTAAAATTTGCAATAAAAATAACAATTTTTAGTTATGTGTGTGAATATTATTAATCATTTAACTTCAATAAAAATATTTCAAAAATATGTTTCTCATGACTTTTAATTCATGCATTTTTACATTTAAACTTTATTAAATTATTTTCAGCTTTTTTTGAAATGGGAATTTCCTCAAAAAAAAAGTACTTTTGCATTTTTAAGATTCTTGGGTACCTCATTTAGATTGAAAGCTTAATATGCATGAGAATAATTTTAAATCTTACCGGAATCTGTCCAGCAGAGGTTATTTCTGGTAAAATCAATGACTACCATGTTAGGTAATCCTAGGTTGTCATTCACTAATTCCTTTCTTCCTGTACCATCCATATTAGCCACTTCAATTTTGGGTGCACTGCGATTCCAATCTGTCCAATACAATTTCCTAAAGAACATATGATTAATATCTATTTTTTTGTACTAATTCTTGTGTAATAACCCACGAATTGCTTAAAACTTATGAGCAAAAGAAACAAAATTAAATAAAAAATTTGATACAGATATGTGTCATTGTATACAGTATCCACCAAAGTCCTTACCTAGCCATTATTCTTATAACCATTGGTTGTAGACACATACTTCTAATTACAAAATGTCTTAAATAATACAAATATCTACGTTTTGTAATTTTTTAATTTAAAAGAAAACCAACTTTTGTAAAACTAACACTATACATTTACCTGTTCCCCATACTCCTATTTAGAAAAATTTTATACTTATTAAATAACAAAAATTGCGACTCATGACATAGGCTGACCAGTATTTCAGTTTAAAATTGGAGATTATATTCAGAAGCCACACACAGAGTTCTTATTCACAGAATTTTTTAGGATTCATGTTGTTGGAAACACTAGTAGGCTCCAGTATTTATCAGCTCATTCATTTCGTTATTTGCTTAGCAGCCGAGCGGTAACGTCGCTGAACACTGGTAGTTCGGTCCGAGGTTCGAATCCTGCAAACGGGCTGGCTGCATGGGTGTTTTCGTGGTTTTCCTCATGTGTAATGTGTATACGAGCCAGTTTCCTTTAAAAAGTCCTCAACGAAGGCATCCCTTCCTTAAGGCAGATAGCCCTCTAGTGCTTTGCCGTAATCTAGTAAACCAAAACCATTATTTGCTTAAATTAATCAGTAAATACAGGGTGTTTATAAAGTCTATACTTTCTGCTTAAACAGGCTTTATACTGAAAAATAAATTATTTACATGAAAACGCAACATAATAGAACACCAAATTAGTACAATTCAATGTTGCCTCCCTGAGTGTTCAGGCACAATTGCCACCATTCCACTACTCTCTGGAACACCTTATGTAAAGTTGTTGGCATAATTTCAGCTGCTGCAGCCATAATTATCTGTTTTAATTGTTCAATGCTGCCAATCTTCACTTGGTACACTTTGGATTTCACAAAGCCCCATACAAAAAAAATCTGATGATTGTGGAGAGCAACGACCAATCCACATATCAGGAAAAGTTTCATTAAGTAATTATGCACAATAATGGCAAAATGGTGAGATGCCCCATCCTGTTGGTAGGCAATAGTGTCAATGATGCCATCTGATACTAGCTGTGGCTCAAGATATTGTTGCAATATATTGAGATAAATTTCTCCAGTTATGGTCTTTTTCTGTAAACATTAAAGGTCTGTAAAGCTTAGACTTAGTTATTCCATTCCATACCTTAATTTTAAGTTTGTCTTGCTGAGATTCGTATAACACATTAGTTTATTCATCAGCCCAGATTTGACAATTATGCCTATTAAAAGGGCCACAGAGATGGAATGTGTTGCTTTGTCGCTAAAGAGAACATTCTCCACAGCTTCCAACAAATCATAACACATAGCTTGCTGAGCTGCATAATTCTCATCTTCAAGCTTATGCACAGTTTGAATGCAGTAGGCATGCTTGTTTAAATGATAGCGTAGAGTTTTCCAAACAGTAGTATGCGAAATACCAAGTTCCCAGCTGAGTCTTCATGTAGAAGATTAGGGGCTACACGTAATCGCTTCTTGCATGCTTTGTGCAACTTGTGGCATTTTCAAAGGTCTCCCAGAACGGTCTTCATCTGTAACATTACCAGTTCGCTTGAATTTGTTTACCAAATTTTAATAGCTGCTCTGGTAGGGGCTTGTTTTCTGAATTTACTGGAGAAGTCTTCCTGCAACTGTTGATAGGTTAATCCACATGTAGGGGCACAAACAATGGTAATTCTTTCAAATCACCCACAAATAAATTGCAATTAGAACATATTTCTCAAACATGTATAGAGACTTTATAAATACCCTGTATTACAAGATAGTAAATAACAAAAAAGAATTTTGGTGAATATAGCGTTATGGAATCAGTTTTATTTTGTTAATCAAGTGAAAGACAGTATTACTGCGATTGAATGATACGTCTGAAATCTCTTCCTGATATAAGTGCTGTTCACCAAAATAATTCTTTTGCACATCTTATGACTCAATCTGTATAATATAAAATATTTTTGATGAAATTTGGCAAACACTAGGATTGATGAAGCTCATTTATTAGTTTGCTTTAAGGTGAAAAGTTTGTCGTTTATTGACGATTTATATCTTGAACAAAATTTATTAAATCAAGAACTGCTTAAAAGAATACAATCAAGAAATATTATATATATATTTTTAAATATAATTTTATGTATTTACATTATAATTAATTTGTACTCCTCAATAATTCAACCCTCTCTGAACAATAAATGACATAGAAACATTCCATATTCATAGAAAACCTCAAATATTAAAATTTCTTATTTGCAACAATACCACATCATCTTAATAGTAATAATGATAATAATATGATCTAGGATAAATGCCATATATTAAATGTAGAAACATTCTTTGATAATGACCTGATCATGTAAGTAAATATTTATATAGTATGTCTAAATATATCATATACTACAAACTGCCAGAACTCCCCTCCCCCTCCAATCAACAGTGGTTAGATGTGGGCACAAGTATGCATGAAATTTAAGTTTTAATGCTGTAAAATGAAAAGTTTTATGTGAATGTAAACAATAAAATTTCTGCAATACGTACTGAAATGTAAATATTGTGGGAAAATGCCGAAAGTCTGTCACTTAATTCTTACAACTGTTTTCTGTTTACATAAAGCATATACTTTGTTTTGTGTTTTTAAACACATTACTGAAATATGAACATACATTGCATATAAAATTGGATTGTATTAAAGCAAAGCACAGTAAGACTATCTTGCCTAAGGGATGACTTGGAAGACATTTTTAGGGAAACGGGTGCATATTCCTGTTACACACAAAGAAGACCACACAAAATCCCATTGAGCTAGACTGTTTATTGGGGTTTTAGTCCAGATCAAAAGTTTATCAGCGACTTTACTGCTTTTCAGTGTTGCTGGCAGAAAATATTTGTGAGCAATTGAAGAATGCTATAATACTCTGTGTTGGGCTGTCCATAATTTCAAAATGTAACAGCTTATCGATATCCTTGTGACAGTTTGCAGATACTAACCGCCTTTTTAGAAAGTAAGAGTTACCATTATACAATTTTTTCAAAATTGCGTGCAAAGAATCGATGAAGCACTTACCCTAATCCAGGATGCACTGCTATGCCTCTGGGATTATCCAGACCATCAGAAAAAAGCACCTTCCGATAATTTTTAGAAAGGCTGGCAACTTCTATAGTATCTTTTCCCGAATCGGTCCAGTATATTGTTCTTCCCAGCCAGTCTACGGCAACTCCTTCTGGGGACAGCATATCTGATGATAAGGAAAAAGAAAGATATCACAAAATTGTTGAATCCAAGTTTCTTTTTGTTTAAACATCCAATTTAAAAAACACATAAAGTTAGCTTTAATGATTTTCTTTTATATAACTAGGTAAGACGAGAAGAATTAAATGAATTAATACTTGCTGTATTTGTAGCACCTTTTAAATACATTTTACTATAATATGTAATTAATTAACTATTCATTTAGTAACTCATGCCATATTTTAAAATCTGACTGCAAATTCTTATATGTCAATGATTTTATACCAGCAGTTGTAATTATATCTTCTATTTTGTTACAATTTTTAAATTTTTCATTTGTAAAAACTTTCAGACAATTCTGCGGGACGTTGATAAAATGAACATTGAAATGATTTTTTTTTTTTAAATTTTATTTTTCATTTCAAAAGGATTCAATTATATGTGTCTAGTATTGTACAGAAGTTCACATTATTCACTTCAGTGTACACTAGTGTACAGGAAAGCGAATTTTAGGTTCGGACAGTAATTTTAATGCATCAGTAACAGAAAACTCAGCAGTCAAAGCGATTGTAAAAAGTGAAAATAAGGCACTGAGTGAATCGAAGTTAAATGAAATTTTTCAAGACTATGAAGAATTCCTTTCCATAAGGAAATTCAACAGATCTGCTTCTGCAGCTTTTCCCAGAAAAATGGCATTTTGCCTTTTACTCAGTACCGTGAGTAAAGAATGAGAGAGAAGCCATTCTAAATCTAATTATAGGAAGATCTGCTTCCAAAATGTGATTCTTGATTAACAGTGCTATTCTGAATGAAAAAATAAAATCACTATCTTCAGAGCCAGATTTAGACTTGATAAGGCCGAAAGCTATTAAGACATGTGGCCCTTTATATAAGTTTGTAATAATATATTTTAATACTATTTATACTATATTTTAATTTTTGGGGGGCCCCAAGTTGTAGCTCGTGTAACTTATACGTAAATCCGGCTTTGACCATATTTGAAAGAAACATTTATTTATCTCATAAATGAAATATAAAATATGTTTGAGGACATTAACTCCCGTTTGCAGATTGTGGACATATGTTCCAGATAATATTCTGTTAGTAATATTAATTATTTATTTTATTTGAATTATAAAAATCGACCTTTTTTTAATTGAATGTTTAAATTCCTTGTGCACCACATAATATTACACAAGGCTCACAGAGGAGAGTTAAAAAAAAAAAAAATACGGCAACGCAACACAAAATAAAATAAACTTACAAATTCACAGATGACGCGTAAGGGATAATAGATTTAAGGGACAACTGTTGAAGTACAAATCAATATATAAAATTCAGGATGGTACATGAAATGTCATACCATTCAATCACCCCATAAAACTGTTGATATTATGTACTATATGTTAAAATCTCATATTCACGTGATTTTGTTTTTTTCATGGAAAATCTAATGGATGTCACTATCGGATTCTAATTTTCCATGAAACATCAGTTTGCAAGATGGCAGATAATCAGCTTGTTAAGTGTTGAACAGACAATAAAAGGCGTAATTCTTCTGTTGTAACTGGAAACTAAGTCCTGCAGACTCTACTAGACTGTTAGCGAGTTATGGGTATATCTAAAACAACTCACGAAATACTAAAGAAAGTTAATATAACCTTTTTATTTAGTCTTAGTGTAAAAGAACATGCACAACTTGTGCTACAGACGAAATTTTCCACTAATTATGGATATTTAAATGAACATAACAGACTCTAAAATTGAACAGTGATAATACAGTCTAATATTACACATAAAATAGACTAGTTTAAGCTATCTCACATATTTCACCGGGGCGTATGTTAAAACATCGGGAGAGAGATGCTAAAGCCAGAATAGAACTTTAGTAGAGCTGGCAAGAATAATAGCAGCAGGATGCGGTTGCACTAGCTCTAATCTAAAAATTGAAAACCCTCGGATTAAATACAGAAAAACTTGACTTGCGTTCTAGTGAGGAATACGGAAAGGAGTAGTTATAATAAACTGAAATCGTAACAGCTAGTTAAACATAAGATGCCTTACGAAATGAAGATTTTTGACGCGCTGATTTAGCACGGGCACAAAAGTTAAATAAGTCAAAATCCATTAAATTATTCCAGCCATAAAGTTAACAATTAAAACTTGACAGTTTAATAATAAGCAAAATTAACAAACACAGTAACGAAAAGATTTGATAGAAGTACACAATATTAAACTGGACGAGCCAGCGCGGTCACACACTATAGCAGGTTCTCAGAGTACAGAAAAAAAATCAGCGAGATCGGACAAGATTACTCTAATAATAATTCCTCGCCAAATGGTGGTTTCACTGGAAAAGTTTCTTGCTTAGGCGATGTACTGCCGCTGCACACTCCCTCCACAATGTCGATGACAGTGATGTAGCAGGATCCGTAAAAGTCGTCTAGAACGTGTTGCTGGTAAAGGTGTTGATGTGTTGACAATCTGAAGAAAAAATGGCATCGCCCTTGGTTTTTGACACTCTGAGGAAAGTTAGAACTGTTGGCAGCGAGAAATGTTGATCGATTGGGAATAATTGTTTTACTGTCTTTAATATCCAACTCGAAATTCTTTTCTCGTCTAAGGGGAAAAAAAAAATTAGTAAGGTTCATCATAAAGAGCTTCAGGTGATTTCCGCATACATCATGCTGAAGAAACATATGAGCGCTCTCACTCAGGTGGGGGCAGACAAAAATCGCTTTCTGCCTATGGCAGGAAAGTGGAATAGGACGTACACTCACAAAACTGGGATCTTAAATCCTCTACGAGTTGTTCCAGTGATACGATACGAAACCGATGTCGAATCTAAAAATTCACCTGGTAGACGGAGACTCTTAATGCGTACATTAATTCGGCCGTTAATGGTCCTCTTTAAACCAATATGGTGGTTAGCGACTCTGACTACAGTACACCGTAGAGCCCTGTTCCATATCCCTAAGAAGACATGAATGTTTGCAAATATATAGTGTCAGTGTGGCATGGGGGGTACTCAATATATGCGGCGAGCCGAAAGTCCTCTCGAGAGGGGGGTGATAGGGGAAAAGGGGTGGGAGACCCTTAGAACCATCTCCGCGGAGTTATCTCGTTCAAAATTGGGGGCGGAACTGAGCAAAGTCGTACTGTCACCTGTACGGTGAAAGCGAGATTAGTCACAACAACAACATCAGATCCTTTTTGAGATTCCTCTCCGTCCTCGCTGCAGACTATTGGTCCCTGTTGTAGCTGCAAGACAACACAAAACAAAGCACTCACAAATTGACGGCATTGTTCTGTTATGAAGTGGGTTGGACAATCAAATCGAGCAATTCACTAGTTATAAAATGCTTGTGCTGCTGTCTGTGCTGTTATATCCAGTACTGCACTGCTTCTGGCCATCGCGTATATCCATTTGTTATTGTCAAACGATGCTAATTTCCTCAGGAAGATGGAAGAGGACCGACAAGGTCGAGGGGATGTATGATCGAATCTCTGTCATTGGTCTAAAACGTTTCCTGCTAGGAGTTTTGTATGACGGGGTAATTTTTGACTTCAGACATGGAATATAGTTCCTTTAGAGCCACAGCGTTTTGAGGAAATCGTTGGTAAGTACTTTCTTCCCAATTCTCTTATTTTTCTCAATAAATGGGACGGCTTGTCGTTGTTTAGTGTAACTCCGAAATTAACTGATATATTTGTTCGTTTTCCGAATCAGAGAATTCTGCTATCAGTCTAGTTTTTAATGTGATGTTTTTATCTTTATTGGAAGGGTGAAATTTTCACCCTCGAGGGGAGATATTTGCGATTCAGGCACTATGGAAGAATTATTACCGCTAGTTTGGACATCTGATCCTGTCATCTTAAAAGATTAAAATATATTAATAGGGTGAGGGAACAAATGCAATAAATATACAGTATTAAAGCGCTGAGAAATAAATAGTAATAGAACGCAAAACAATAAATAAAGAGTGAGTATTATTAACAGTAATCTGTATAAGATTATAAAAATAAATACAGATAAACAATAAAAGGTATATATAAATATTTTAGCAGTTTATGACTAATCACATAGAGAAAAATAAAGAAAAAAACGTTTCTTTTGTAAGTAGATTAAATAATGGGCATTTCTGTGCAGGTTGTTGTGAAAAGTATTGATCAATATATATATGTATCTTTTTTCAAACAAGAGATCTTACAGAGTTCGTACTCTAGAAAACTCTGCCTGGCTTCAGTATTGGCACATATCCAATTCGCAACATTATTTTCTTGAATTAAAAATCAAAAATAATTTTAGCTAAAGGAGTTTTTATTATGCTTATTTGATTAAAAACTGTAAAATAATAAACTTTTTTGAGAGTATTACTAATGTATTTTTTAGCATTTGAAAACTTGCAACTGACTTGTGTGAGGAGAAAAAAAGAAAGAAAATTACAAATAAATAAAAAAAAAAGTTACACATTAAATAAATTACAAAAGATGTCATTGATTGCCATTTCAGGGGAGGAATCGAACTCGAATGATTCTAATTTATTTATTTATAGACTCTCAGATAAGTTTGAAATGCCGAAATTCCCCAATTTTGAAATTAAATCAGTTTATTTTTATCACATGGAAATCAAAATTGTTTTATTTTGTTTTTTATAATCAATATAAAGAAATAATACAAAAAAGGACAGAATGAAAAATTTGATTTTGTGAATTTTTAAATTTAAATATGCCAAACATGAATATTTGCTTCATTTGAAACATTTTTATAACTGGAAGTATGTGTCTACAAACAACTGTTGTGAAAATCAAGGCCAAGTGGGACCGTTTGTAAACCAGATGTATAAACTACGAGCTTATTTAAGTAAAAAATGTGACATTCACACCCTGAATTGAAGTAAAATGCAATGTAGTAGATGATAATGAACTGCTAACACATTTACTATGCTATTACCATATCTGATTACATGCTATTACCATATCTGATTAATATAAACGACGATAAAACTTAATATTAGCCCTTTTATTTAATTAAAGGCATGCTTTGTGTGTCTCAAATTTCTAAACTTTTACCTCGCTTTTTTTGATTCCTTAGTCCACATTTACTCTAAACAAATTATAACATGGTTATAATTTGTTTTAATGTTACGTGATTAAATGATCAAAATTGCACAAGATGTTCTATATCACAGAAATATTAGTTACCATGCGAGATAATCATGGAGACTTCAGATCCATTATAGTTAGCTCTGCGTATGACTTTCAGAGATGCGTCAGCCCAGTAAAGATGTCCCTGTTGACAATCAGTTGCCAAACCAACTGGAGTCTGGTTTGGTTCCATAAGCAGAAGTTGTCCTGGATTGCTTTTTGATGGAGTTGTAGGTACACGAAGCAAAGACATACCATGAGCGAAGACCAAGTGGCCACCGCTATGTTGAGGAGCAACTGTAAATTAATTAAATTAGTAAAGAATAAGAATTTAAAATTAGATTTTTATTAATAAGACAGAATGAATAAGAACTCAATAAAGGGTTGTTTCGCTTATCAGTAATAAAATTTAAGATTCCATATTACTAATAAATATTAAAATTTCTTGTTAGTTTTAATTCAGTTCTTCGTAAACGCTTTCAGAGTTCTAATATCTAATGTTTTTACATTTCATTATCATTTTCCTCAATAGATGGGGCCACATTCTTGCTTGATTTGGTCAGCTCATTATTTTCGGTATAAAGCCGTCCAGATCAGCGGTCGCCAACCGGTGGTCCGTGAAAACCTTTTGATGGTCCGCAAAAGAACCGGGACATTATTTATATTGTTGCGTTTTTCTTTTCTGACACCAGTTGTTACGTTATTTTCTTCCTTCACGTTCGTACGAGGTTCGTAGAGATTTGGAGTGAATAATAACGACACTTCTTGATGAAGTATCGAAACACACTTTATTAGCCAGTATTGTCAGGACAGCTCCAAAACACGTTTTACAGTCGTTGATGAACTACTATAACACACACGGTCAGCGACACGGCCTTCAGGTTATCAGGCTATCAGGGTGAAAACAGCTTCACTGTAAAGCACCAGAGTACAGCTCCCGACTCTGCTCGGTCGATCTCGGAACTCCACGTACTCTCGAGACTCTCCACGCTACAACTCGTGATGCACTCGACGACACACAAAGCTGTTAGTTTGGTACATTTATCTTTACCATATTAGCAACACCAAGTTCTCTCTCTCTGTGTGCGAGCTATGGATGCTGTTGTAATGTTGTGCACGTGTTGTTAAGTTTCAATAAAAAATGTGAAAAGATACGTTTCTTATTTTTCGACTTGCTTCTTCATATGATATCGATTTATTTAACATGGTAGCAGAGCGTGGTTTGTGAATATGAATGAAGAATTTAGTTAGTAGTTAGTTATAATTGTTTTAAAAGTTACCGGTACTAGCGTAAAAATGGCATGTACAAGAAGCAGCGATATCGGCATACCGCTATTTGATGGTTCGGACTGATGAAATTTCTTCAATTTAAAAAGTGTAAAGATGTGGTTCAGCGAAAGTCAGTGAAAATGATGACGTGGAAAAATGGGAAGAAAAGGATATCCAAGCTACAAATTACATTTACGGCGCCATAACAAACAAGCAATTGGAATATATTCACGAGTGTGAGACTGCATTTGATATAATTACGAAATTTGATGCAATGTATTTAAAAACTTCAACATCTCTACAAATTGTTTGTCGAAATAACTTAGAATGTGTTAAACTGAAAAATTATCCTGATGTAAATATATTTTTCGATGATTTTGAGAAGTATGTGAACGAACTGAAACATGCCGGCGCCACCGTGACGGAACAAAAAAATTGAACTATATGCTAAGAGCATTACCTTCAAATTACAGTCACATTGGTGACTTAATAGATGTATTACCAGAGAAGGACAGAACAGTCGATTACCTAAAGAGCAAAATCAAATCAAAATTACTTGAAGAGAAAAATGATTATGAAGATTGTGCACCAGCAGAAAAATCAAATGTGTTCAAAATTGAAACAAGCAAATCGGGTCCACAAGGGAATGTCTGTTATAATTGTGGAAAACCTGGTCACATTAAAAAGAATTGTTGGCATGTCCATCAAAGGAACTATCGTGGTAATGGCTCCACTAATTATCGCGCGGTCGAAGTTCTTCAAACAATCGAGGACGTAGTCGTGCTTTTAGTGGACATCGTGAACGTGGGAGCATACTCTAACCAGAGAATAAACACTCATCAAGGCAATAGTTTTTCACACCACTGTTATTGAAAGTAACATGACAAGTTCCAGTGCAAATACTGTGACGAATAAAAATGAAATCGATTGGTTACTGGATAGCGGATGCACAGACCACATTATAAACAGTGATGAATATTTCAAAGAGCAAGTCACTTTGAAGGATCCTATTCAAGTGAAAGTCGGTGACGGAAGGATTTTGAAAGCTACAAAGGTTGGCAATATAATAGTTTCTTTTCCTGTATATAACTCTGAATCTATCGTAACATTGAAGAATGTATTTTATGTAAAAGAAATGAAAGCAAATTTATTAAGTTATTCGAAGATTACTGATAATCATAAAATAGTTTCAAAAGAAAAGTTTCTCTAAAATATATGATGTCAATGGTTCATTAGTAGCAATAGCAAAGAAAGAAGAAAGATTATATAAAGTAAAGAGTTATGTTAAAAATAGTAAAATATTTGCAAATTTGACCAACAGTTAACGTTAAAAGAAAAATTGCACCGTTCATTTGGACATGTAAATTTTAAATATCTGGATATTATGTGCAAAGATCAGCTATTAGAAGGAATCCCTAAAGAAAAGAAATAGAAACCGAATATATGAAGTGTGCCATATGTATTGAAAATAAAATGCACAATTTACCATTCAAGAATAATAGAAGAAAAGCAGAAGATATTCTGGAGATTATACATACAGATGTAAATGGACCTCACAGAACAAGTGGATGTAATGGTGAGAAATACTTTGTGAGTGAGTTTTATTGATGATTATAGCAAGTTGGCAAAAATTTATTGTATCAAATCTAAGGATCAAGTCTCTGATTGCTTAATTGAATATGTAAATGAAATTCAAAATTTAACAGGGAAGACTATCAAAGAACTAAGATGTGATAATGGTAGTGAATATATGAATAGCAAGATATACAAATTTGCAAGAGAAAAAGGTTTCAAGATAAAGTCATGCCCACCATATGTACACGAATTAAATGGTACTGCTGAGCGTTACAACAGAACTATAATGGATATGGCAAGATGTCTTTTAGCCGAAGCAAAAGTTGACAGACGTTACTGGCCTGAAGTAATTAAAGCTGCTGCTTATTTGAAAAACAGGACATTAACAAATACTGTTGTAAAGAAGACACCATATGAAATATTTTTCAATAGGAAACCATCTGCTAATGAATTGAAATTATACGGAAGTAGAGTGTATGTAAGAATACCAGAGAGAAAGAAAAGAGAAAGTCTAAGTGGGATAAAAAAAAGGCTGAATTTGGAATTTTACTTGGGATATACAGAAGTTGGATATAGAGTTTTGATGAATAACAGAATAATAGTTGCCAGGCATGTTGACATTATTGAAGAAGACATAATGTGTGTAGGTTGTGATGATGAAGATAAGAAGAATGATGATACAAATAAGAAGAATGAACCTCAAGAAGTGTCGTGTGAATCGAGTAATGATAACTCCAAGGACAGTGTGATAAATGAAGATGAAACAAAAAACAAAAAGTGGAATGAGACCAAGAAGGCAAATCAAACCACCAGTTCGATTTCATGAAGAATTCGGGTACTACTGTGTTAGTGCAAATTTTTGTGATGCTACAGTTCCAGGTAACTTTGAGGAGGCGACAACATGCAGTGAGGCTGGACATTGGAAAGAGGCAATGGACAGTGAAATGAACAGTCTTGTTAAAAATAACACTTGGACACTAGTGACTAAACCAGAGGATAAAGCAATTCTAGATGTGAAGTGGGTATTCAAAAAAAGAAAACCAGGTAATGTAATGTTTTAAAGCTAGATTAGATTAGTGGTTCGAGGTTTCCAGCAAAAAGATAGTATTGAGGATACTTACTCCCCTGTCATTAAGATGCAAACCTTAAAATTGTTACTTTCATATTCTTGTCAGTATAATTTAAATATTCATCAAATGGATGTTGAGACTGCCTTTTTAAATGGTTATGTTGTGTCTGAGGTTTATGTTAAACAACCACAAGGCTATAATGATAATTCGAATAGAGTGTATAAATTAAAGAAAGCACTATATGGGTTGAAAGAAAGCCCTCGTGCTTGGTATGAGTGTTTTAACGAGTATATTGAGAGTCTAGGATTTCGTAGAAGTAAATATGATTATTGTCTTTATGTAAAATCTGAAAATGATGTATTTGTATATATTCTTTTATTTGTTGATGATTTGTTGATATGTTGCAGAGATACTCGGGTAATTAATGATATTAAGGAACAACTACATAAAAAATAAATTTTAAATGAATGAAGGATTTAAATAAAGTAAAAAGCTACATTGGAATTGATATTGAATATGATAATGAGAAAAGTAATATCTTAACACTGAGTCAGGAAAATTATATTGAATCTTTAGCTAAACTGTATGGTATTGAAAATTCAAAGCTTTATGATACACCAATGGAGACTAATCTTAAACTAAGCCAATCTAATTTAAATCAAAATGTCAAATATAGAAATCTAATAGGAGCACTCTTGTATATTAGTCATGGTACTAGACCAGACATATCTTTCAGCGTAAATTATTTAAGTAGATTTCAAAATTGTTATGTTATGATGAGACACATTTCAAATATGCTTTGAGAGTTTTAAAGTATTTGTACTTAACAAAACATCTAAAATTAACCTATAGTAAAAATCTTAAAACTGATATTATGAATTGTTATGTTGATGCTGATTGGGCAGGTGAGGTGATATTGTTGACAGAAAGTCAACTACTGGGTTTGTTATTGAATTATTTGGTAATCCAATTTACTGGAAATCCAAAAAGCAAAATTGTGTGACAAAATCTTCCACTTTTGCCGAATATATTGCTCTATCTGAGGCTGTGACAGAAATTAATTTCTTTTTAAAAAATGTTGTGAATGATGTTTTTTTGCTGATATAACTCACCCCATTAAAATTTATGAAGATAATTCAGGAGCTTTGGCCATTGCTAATTATGGGAACTTCACTAAAAATTCAAAAACACATAGAAGTTCAATATCATTATGTTCACGAAAATGTTCAAAATGGAGTAATTGTAATTGAATTGTAAAGATTGATTCAGAATCAAATATTGCAGATATCTTTACTAAGTCTTTAGGAAAGATTAAATTTATGAAATTTAGAGAAGGTTTGAAATTGAAATAAATTTTGTATACTGTTTATTTAAGTGATGTTTGTTTAAATATTTTTGCTTGAAATGAAATAGATTTTGGTAATGTCCTTATGTAAACTAAATTGTGTTTAACTTTGATTTTAACATTTAAGTTAATGAAACTTTTTTTAAAAATAATTTGTGTTAAGTGTTGAATGTTATTGTTTATATCTATGCTTAATTGTAAATGGTAAAGATGAAAAGATTGCTTATATCTATGTTTATTTGTAATTAGTAAATATAAATGTAAGGAGGCGTGTTAGTTTGGTACATTTATCTTTACCATATTGGCAACACCAAGTTCTCTCTCTCTGTGTGCGAGCTATGGATGCCGTTGTAATGTTGTGCACGTGTTGTTAAGTTTCAATAAAAAATGTGAAAAGATACGTTTCTTATTTTTCGACTTGCTTCTTCATATGATATCGATTTATTTAACAAACACGGCCCGACTTAATCGTCGTTCCTCTCCCCTCTCTCGAAGATGCGTACCGGATAATAGAGATCCTTGGGAACCAAACTCGGCCTGAGCCGTTCAACTGTGTGCAGGATGACTCGAGACGAGCCCAACTCGATACTGACTAGACGAGGCACACTCACTCGCCCTCTCGATGAAGCACACTCTCTATCAGCTCGCTAGGCGAGACACTCACTCTCGCACTCTATGCGAGGCACACACACACTAACGGACTGCGGACGAGCAGGGTTTATATAGCTTTCGGCTTGTGTTCGAGAACATTCTGGGCTCAACCGGTAAGAATTCGTTCCAGAAGGTTCTCCATCCGTCCATGGCACATCTCCAATATTGTCGCCAAATGGGCGATTTCTCGCCAAATATGGCAAGCCTGCCTTCCCTTGGCATTTTCTGACAACCCTAAACCTGCTTTGCGGGGAAGCTATCTTACCGCGCCTGTACATTTCGTAACAATATTTTTATGAAGATTCAGTTTAAAAAATGAGTAATAAAACATATTATGGAATAGGGATTACACTTTTTCTTTTAATTTTAACTACTACCTTTAGCGAAATTCCTTCTGAATTTAGCGAATTTTTAGCTACTTTTGCAGGTGTATCCAGCGGCATTTGAAAGTGAGAGTTGGCATCCATGGATATGCTGCTGTTATCAATAATAGTGCAAACTGGAATCTCTCCTTGTAAATTATAAACGAAATCAGCTTATATGCGGTGCCTATATGCGGTCTAGTCGGAAATTTACAATTCCTTTTTTGACGGGGGGGGATCTGAAAAGGAGAGGATAATCTTGCCTGGGTTCGGAGAAAATTTACGTTTAAACATAAACTCTAACTCGCATTCAGTTTTATACAGAGGAAAATACAAATTGAATTCTTCGAATGAATGCAATTTTGTACAATGAAAATGTATTCTTGAACGATAAACTGCAAAACAAATAACGTCTTTTTTCTTAAGCCATGTGGAATAGAAAGACAGATATGTGTTACATCAATGAATTCGTAGTAAATATTGAGATTTAAATTTCGAATGCTATGTTACATGTATGTGAAGTATCTGAGTATCTGAGAAAATAATCTTAACTCGAATGGTTTTCAACTTTATGACGCCTAAAGACTGTTTTTCTATTACATTGTGGTCGCTGCTTTTTAGTTAATTTTCTAATGACATATAAACATTAAATTGTTTTTACTTGAGATTTATGAATAAAATAACGCAAACTAGACTGCAGAAAATTCTTCAGAATGAAGTTAATAATACTGAAAAAATACATTATTGTGGAACGTTTTGGTTTTGTAGTAGTTAATATGGAATCCTTAAATTATATATATCTATATAAAATATATATAAAATGGAACAAAATATAGAAACAAGGTATAAAATATCAAAGAAAAATATCTTTAATATATAAGTTCATTACCATACGTATTTTTATGCAATATCAATATGAATGGTTAGTTAGGTTTCGTACATGTATAATTTATTTTAATTTTTTGTATTATATATTCAGTATTGTATACTTATCTGAAGTTTAATTTTACTTGTTCTCCTTTTAATTACGACTTTAAGTGAGAAAGATCTGTTAGGGCCTTTATAGGGATCAAATTATATACAATCAATTAGATCCGACTTTTCCTTTCTTTTAATAATTATATATATAATATACTATTTTATAAGTATACATAAAATATAGCAGTTTTTTAAGCTACATATTTATATATCTATTGTTTGGTCTGGTTTGTTGGATTATAGAAAAGCATTTGACAGCTATTTGCCTGAGGGTAAGGATGCCTCGAGGAGAACTTTCTAATCAAAACTGACTCGTATGCACGTTACACATGGGGAAAACCACGAAAACTCCAATACAGCCATTACGTTCATCGGGATTCGAACCCCGGGTCAACCTATCAGTGTTCAACGACTTTACCGCTCAGCCGCTGATGAGCCACACACACACATACACATCCACACATATACATTCAAATATATTTACTTGTCGTTTATAAAGTATATTCGAGTGCAATTTGGAATGATGGAATGAAAAGATCGATTTGTTCATTCATTCCTAGTTTCAAATCGAATGAATGGACTCGCAAAAAAAAATGGCGCATTCAAATACGGTCACTGAACTAAAGTAAGCTACGAAAATTTTAACGAAGTTTTCGTATTTTATCTTATTAAAACAAAATATCAGAATGTAATTAAATGTTTTACTTCTTAGAAAAATAGAAAATATAAATATATGTGAATAAAAAGAAAATATCTTAAAAAAAAAAAAAATTTAAATTTAAATTTACAAAAATATAAGAATTACAAAATCTTGCAGAAATAAATAAAATAGCGAATAAACTTATTCGTCACAAAGCTCGCTAAATGTAAATAGATTGTGAAGTCAGGAAGCTCTCCTTGTCATAGAAATATACTGTTCATCAGGATTAAAGGGGATAAAGTGCGAAGTTCAGTGAGTAGCTGTATTTGCATTTTAATGAATAAACTAGCCAAAAAAGGGGGACACTGAAAATTAGATGCAAAATTAACAAAATGGATTGAACGAGCCCTCCTACAGCTACCACTATGTGTAAGGATTTTCGTGGATTCCTTAAGGTATATAAATATGAGCCCATTCCTTAGAAAAATTCTCCATGAAATAATGCCTAGCAACCGTTGCATGCTTTGCCGTATTCAATTAAATAAGAACACAAAAGCAAAAACTAGGATATTTCCGTAACAATTAGTGCTAATTAGGCTTTGAACGAGAATTGGATCGGATTATTTGTTTATAGCAATGCTTTTCAGCCTCGTGACTTACATGTATGTAATGCTCAGGGGGGGAAAGGAAATTCCTAGACGAAAATAATGTAATAATGAAATGTTAATCAACAAATAAACATAATCATTAAATTGATTTGATAATTACAATTTAATTTGCAGTTATAAGGGGATGTATGTTATTTATAATCCCCAAAAGTGCATACTAATATTATTAAATTGTTTAATAAATACATAAGAGAGCACTTCAAAACTTTTCGCATCCTATATAATTTGTCTCAATTCTAGTACCATGTACATCCTTGTACTTACAGTGAAGAATAGAGGAGAACTCTGTATCTCATTTGAAGTTTTTATTCTTGATATACTGATACTGCATGAGACCTAAAAACACTTTTCTTTTACAATATATCTGCCCTTGAATATCGATGATAATTTGAACTAAAATTGTATAGTTTTGTGAATTTTAAATACAAATAACTTTTGCGGATGATAAAGAAGATAATAATAAACTAAGATTGCCAACTACGAATAAAAGAGAAAAAAAACTGTGCTGTGCCAAAATGGCAACATCGAAACCATATTCTGGATAGCTGTGATATGAGAATTGAACTAATAGAATGCTTATGATTGAGTAGCTTGTGTTTTTATGCTTTTTAAAAGATTATATAAAATTGTTAGCGTTGCCAAAATGGCTTTGTTTCTTTATGAATAATCTAATTTTCATTTCAAGAATTGTTATTAAATAAAAATCGTTATTAAATCGCGAGAAGAAATATCTCATGGAATATGGAATGAAAGATGAAAAGTTTGCTAAAAGACAAACTCAATTTTAGAAAATATTTAATGCGAAAGAAGAATAAAACTTGGTAGCAATACCTACTCTAAAATGCAAAGAAATGGATTAGCATGATTATTCATCAAATATTTGTTGAAAGCAATAGATTTCAACTCCTCAAGAATACTTAATATGATTTCTTTGGACTTACCATTACAAGTGATACCATCACCGATAAATCCCTGTCTACAATGGCAGACATATTCCCCAGAAGCATCGTGCGGTACACAATCAGCATTACGATCACATAGATATCTATCTTCCCGGCAAGACCTTAAAGCTCTGCAATCATAACCATCTCCTTCGTAACCTGCCAAACAGCTACACCTGTAATAAAATAATAAAATTATTTTGCATGTGAAACTTTGTTTTTTCTTACAAATAATCTTCTGCATTAAAACTTTTTTTACATTTCTAACATTTATATAGCTGCCAACTCTCCCGAATTTACTAGAAGCATCCGGTTTTTTGTCACATATCCCGGTCTTCCATCTAGATCCGTGTTTCCCAACGTGGGGCCCACGCCCCACAAGGGGGCAATGCGACTGTTAAGGGGAACAATTCGAAAATGGACTCATCCAGAGTTTACGGGACAAGGACGTTCTAAATATGTTTCATGAAGTCAAATTTTTCGAAATTTCATTTTTTCTCAAAATAAAGAAAAAATGTAAGTTTGTATACGTAAAAAGAGTTTTTTTAAATTGCGGTGCATTTTAAATATTTTATAAAGAATTCTCGCTGTAGACATGGACATTTAAATGCTTTTAAAGGCATTAAATAACTGACACATTATGCTTTCCAGACGTTTCTTGCACATTCAGCCAACGAATTTATTTTATCTTTTACTGTAGGAATGGCAACTGGTATGTTATTCTTTCTTGAATGGCAAACAGCAGCTGCTTTCAGGCTTTGTTTATATTGATCTTATATTTCTTTCTTTCAGCCCTTAGTGAAATAAGGGGTGCAAGCAAGAAAAAACGTTCGTCGGTATTCGGAGGCATATTTAAAATTCGGTTTCATACCCGGTTCATAAACGGTCAACTTTTGTCCTTTTATGCCAATAATGCCTGACCAACAAATCAATGAAACTAGGTCGTCTTGAGGCACATTTGAAGGCGAAACCTAATGCTGATATTAATTCAGATTCGAATTATTTTCACACTTTAAGGAAAATTTTTGAAAATAGAGTAATATTAAAGTGTCTATTTACTGCTCATAATGCAACTGTTAATCGTGCTCTGGATGGTTATTTATCGAATTTCATTACTCATCGCTTATCTGGTAAAAAAAGCCATACTATAGGGGAGAATTTAATCAAACCATCAATCGCATTTAAAACTGTTCTAGACAAAGATGTTAAAGCTGTGCCACTAAAAAACAATACTGTTTGCAGAAGAAGAGAGATTAAATGAGTGAGGATATTGAAATACAACTTGTTTGAAAGAAGAAAACCAAGAAAATTTTCGATGCAATGGATGACCAACTGTGAGAGACAGTGAGGCCGTACTTGTAACTTATGTAAGATATTCATAAAGGGAATTTTGCCGAGAAAAGAAGAAATGTTCTGTAAATCATTAGAAAGCACCACTACTCCAAGATTATTTTTAGTAAGCTAAAAAATTACTTAGATATAAAAAATAATACCAATAAAAAATATAATACATCTTATTCTGCAGATGGTGCTCCTAATATGATGGTTGAAAAATAAAATAAAGCACGGAATAAGAAAAAGGGTTGTTTAACCCTCCGAGCGTTACGGGTTTAGCCCTGAGTTCCTCAAAATGTCATGAATAAGTGGTATTTTCTTGATTTTAATCAAAAAATTACTCTTTCATTTTGTACCTTGATTCCTTTTCTTCCAATATACATCCAAACCGAAATCAGATACAAGAAAAGCTAGCAGAAATTTTCATATTTAATGAATATAGAAGGCAGTCTTCTTTACGGAATTTTCCGGCCGTAACGCTGAGAATTGATAAAGAATTGATAAAAGATGAGAATCTAGAACTGCTTCTTGTGCATTGTGTTATTCACAGAGAAAACCTGGTAGCTAAAAACAATTCGGCTGTCCTAAATGAAATACTAAATTCAGTTATAAAGTGTATCAATGCTATTAAAGCTAGGGCCAAATGTGAACGTCTTTTCAAGTTATTTTTTAAGAACAACAAATTTTGAAGAATCTTTGAAAAATTAAATATATTAAATAAGCAACTTCAAGGAGCAAATAAAACTTATGATGCAAAAGGAAGATATTTGGTTTCGTTATTTTTGTTGAATTATGTCAGTTATTTACTATTTACCACAAAAATTTTGAAAAGTCTCATTGGCTCCAAAAATGTGACGTGACTACCGCTATACTTGTTATTGTCTATCATCTGAAAATTTTATCAGCTGATTTAAAAGATTTTATAACTTAAAACAAATTGATTTTCCAACTTGAATGATGCAGGCAATGCTAGTGGATTTGGCTGATATTTCAAATATGCAGTAAAAAGAAGAACTCGCAGAAATGCAAAATGATGAGTCAATTAAAACGTTATTAATATAAAGGAGCGATGACATAGCTTTTGTGAGAAAACCAGAGTCAGATATCCAATGCAACAAAATTTGCAAGAGAACTATTGTTACCGTTTCCATTTCTATTTTGCTGACCAGATTTAGTGCCATAAATAATTTGCTGCTTTAAAAAAAAAAAAAAAAAAAAAAAAAAAAAAAAAAAAAAAAAAAACAAAAAAAAAAAAAAAAAAAAATCTGAATGTTTCAGATTTTAAATTACGTCCAAAGGGGCGTTTTTTAACATTTTGTGTGTTACCTTTCTTTATTAAATATCATGTTCCTCGCACTTAAACCATAAGATTCAGTGCAACAGCAATATCGCAAAATAGTTTTAAAACGAGCATATCTTTAGAATTTCCGATACAGAGACTCACGCGCTGGAGATAAAAAATTTTTTTTCTGCACAACGTTGCCATTGCTCGCCTTGAAATCCTTGAGTTTGTTAATCAAAAATTCGTCAAAGTTTTAAAAAAATAGGAAATCGATCATAAAACAAATTTCAAATTTCAAATTTGGTCTTCCACATGCTCATATTCGTTGGAGGATTACGTTATTCAAAATTCGATGACTCTATGTACCGTTGTTTTATCACAATACGAGAAATATACATACATTTATGCAGATTTTTTCATTATTTAATTTCTTCAAATATAATGCAGGACTCTAACATTTTGTGGCAACAGTTTGAAGAGTGAACCGACATTTATGAGTCCGACGCAAAATGCCAAAACGAAACTAATAGTCCTTCGGGATTCAAATCCCTTTGAACTAAAAAAAAAAAAAAAAAAAAAAAAAAAAAATCGGTTGGATATAATGAAACCGAGAGACTTGAGACTCAAGTTATCTAATTGGAACCTGACATTAAATTTCTTTGCAGCAAGTATCAAGCGTAAGGGCACTCGCTAAATTTAAATAATAAAAAATTAACTAATACTTAAAAAAATAAAAAACTTTCACTTCTTGAATTTCAGTTCTCCATGTTTTGAAAGTTCACTTACTGTGTTGCTCACAAAATTTCGTAGTCATTTCTTCCTAAAAGCTATCATTCAAGTTTCTTTTGTGAATATTTCAATTTTTAAATATTAAAAATTATGTATATGCTAGGGGAGCGTAAAATTTTTAGAGAGGATCGAGTGGGGCATAGCACAAAAAAGGTTGGGAAACACTGATCTAGATCATTAAATCTTTCGGTTTTTAAGGTTGAGCCTTTACTTATAAAAGTGTTTCTCAGAAATAAATGAAATTTATTGAATTAATGAAACTTGTTTTCATTCCCCCACCCGTAGTGTATAATTCTTCGTACTAAATGTTATTCACTCTGCATTGTGCTTAATCTCTTTAGAACTTTATTTGAAGAATCAGCTTATATAAAATCAGTTAATATTCACATTTAATTTTGTTTTGCTTCATTTTATGGTACATTAGTAAGTTATATCTAAGTAATAATATGCACATTAATTGCTATTTTTAATTTCGTCTTTAAAAGTACATTGATAAACAAAAGCTTCCTCTCCTTATTCAGGATTATCTCAGTAAAAAAGTGTTAGAAAAATTAAACGATTAATCTTTAAAAAAAAAATTCTGCAAGCTTTCAGATTTTATATTACGCCCCAAGGGGCGTTTTCTGTGTGTTACCTTTATTAATTAAATATCATGTTCTTCGCACTTAAAACATAAAACTCAGTTCAACAGCAATATCACAAAATATTTAAAAAGACCATATCTTTAGAATTTCCGATACACAGTCTCGCGCGTTGGAGATAATTTTTTTTTAATAACAGTGTTGCTATTGCTCGCTTTGAAATCATTGCGATTGTTAATCAAAAATTCGTTGAAGTTTTACAAGATTTGAAATATATAATAAACCAAATTCCAAATTCCAAATTTGGGCTTCCAGATTCCCATATTCGAGTGGAGACGTACATTATTCAAAATCTGATGGCTGTAGATACGTTGTTTATCACAATGCGAAAAACATACATACATTTATGCAGATTTTTCATTGTTTAATTTCTCTGAATATAATGGCAGGGCGTACAGATTGAAAAGTGATTCAGACTTTTAAAGTTTTCGAGGCAAAATGCCAACCCAAAACGAAAATTAATCCTGAAAAATTGAAATTAAAAAAAAATCCTGAAAAGGTTCAAATTTCAGTAACCCAGAAGTGTCTGTTACGTTTCTTTAGCTAGCGCTCAGCTCGCGTGCTAACCACTCGCTCCTTCTTTATACTACTCCTACTAACCCTCCTTTTTTTTTTTTTTTTTTTTTTT